TCTGATTCTTCTTGATGGTTCTCGATGCGCCTGCATTATCAGAGAATAATTAGTACTGCTAAACATTTCAAGGTCTCTGGGGAATGTCTGGACAATTTCAGCATTTACAAACTCTGAATATGAATCTCCAGGTGAGTCAGGATATTTCCCCTCATTGGGACATTTAAAAACATAAAAATAAAAAACATAATTTCTGAAGACGTCTGTATGGTATTTCTAAATGATAGGGCATCTCTATTTCTGATCCAGTGCCGCTCCTTTTCTGGAGTGAGATCCATTACGAAAGCCCCCCCACCCCCCTACCAGAGGAAGTGACAGGAGACTTAATTTTGGTTAGATGTAATATGTAATGTAATATTCATTTGGTTTCTATACATATCAGTTCATATTCTAAGATTATCTAAATTTATACTTAACATTTTGGAGTTCTCTTTATATTTCACTTTCACCTGCTGCCGTTGTACAAATGCTGCTTCTAACTCCATCATTTCAATGGAACACAATGTATACAGTGGTTTATTTAGTCTAATTATAAATCATTTCTCCAGTTCTGTGACATACACAGTAGAGCATATTAGGACACAAAGTGTACAGAGTTTTTTAACTTCTAATATTTTTAGTAGTTTTGTCCTACTAAGTTCCAAGTATTAAGAAAGTATTAATTGTATTAAGTACTATTTGTGTAAGTCATACGTCACCATGAGAAACACTAGCACAAAAAGTTGGGGTTAATTAGTCAATCTATGGTCGAAAAAGAACTTTGGTGTTATCTTTGTTTTTGTTCTGAATATTTTCATTGCATTATTGTAGGTGGAGATCATAATGTACTTTCCTTTTAGTTTTCCTCCATAAGAGCTCTGATTTACAACAATTTCTCCTGAGCTGGCATATTTCGTCCACCAATTTTTTTCACAAGTTTTTCTTCCATTTGACCGGAGCAAGAGTGTCAAGAGTTTCCTTTAATCTAGCATTTAGCTCAGAAACCAGGTCATTACAGGAGGGAGTCATAGTTGCATTGGATGTACTGTTATAAATGTTTGACTTCTCAACGGTTTGTGAGTTGACGTAACATTTTTTAAAGTACCTTTCAGTCACTTTCTTCATTCAGCAACCAGTTTATCAATTGATTCGCAAAAACATGTGAATATATCTTTATCTGTCTTTCAACAAACATGTCATTAACTCAATCAATAGTCTACATGTTGTCTATCAATTGAGAATGCTAGAAATTTTAATATGACTGTCAGCAAAGTATCAACCGAGTCCATACAGACTGCAGGGAATATATCAACAACTGTTCAATTAATTTATATTTATTCAGGTAGTTATGTTGTAATGTCAACCAACTTTCAGTAGGCATTCAACTTAATATCAACTAAGTGTCAACAAACATGTATGTAAGCCCCTGTTTCTACTCATGTGTGGTACATAATGTCCAGTAGATGCCACATCCATGCCAACAGGCTATACACTACTGTAACTTTGGAACTGGGTTCTGTATTCAGATAAAAATATATTCAAATATATTCAAAAAGATATTCAGACAAAAATAGAGAGCTGTTTGGCAACAGAAACTCAACATGGGTGTGGCTTAAAAAAGGTAGTTATACACAAAAGAACCTCATCTCCACTGTATTCTCCAATCAAGCAACTATTTTATGAGATGATTCAGTGTTTTTATACTGGCAAGTTGAGGTTGCAAGAAGTACTAAATGCACAAATGTTAATAATTGTGATGTGGTTTTGTTAAAAAAGGTTTTGTTTTCTTAGACTACATATACTTCAAATAAAGGTTAGGTTTCTCTCATATTTTCATTCTCAGATTGAGCAAATGAACCACAAAGATATTTTTTTCATGACCTTTTTTCTATCTTTACCAAGGGTGCTGATGATTATAAGGCTAAGTATAGGTAAATCAACATAAAAGGAATTTAAAGTTCTATAACCTATTGCATAACATATTAACCCATAATAGCCTAAATATTTGCCATGGTCATTTTTGAATAAAAGTTTTCACTTCTGCTTGCTGTTCAATTTCTAATTTAAAATTTAAGAACATGCCATTTACTTAAACAATCCAACAGTGACTGAAATGTATGTTATTTGGGTCTCTTAAATGTAAAGCACTACTTAGTCTGGTGTTTCAGTATCTTTCAAAGTATAAATGAGTGTGATACTGATTGGACTTTTTGTCCCTTAAATGCATTTTACACAACCATAATACTCATATATTCCCTGCGGATACTGAAATACACTACACTGTAAAACAATTGTTTTCATTTAGAAAAATAAATGACCTGTCTCTATTCTTTTTTTTAAATGTCATTATTTTTTTAACTTAACCCAATTGAATCTAGCATTTGGTGAGTTCAGCTCTAGCAGGAACAGTAAAAGAATATCTGTTTAAATGTATTTACAGTGTCACAGTTTCCCCTGTGCCCTTCTGAGTTAGCCTGTTTCTTTGCCTGTTTGGTAGCCATGTGCTTTTGTTTCTGTTTTGATTCCTTTGTTCCACCATTTCCCTGCCTTCTCTGTAGGATTCCCACCTGTTTGTGGTTTTTGTCCCCTCCCTCTCAGTCCTTTTTTGTCTTGTCTATGTTGTGACATGTAGTGGTTATGTGTCTGCTCTGTGTTTGGTTTGCTTTATGTGTTTCTTGGATAAAAGCCTTATAGTTTTCAGCTAGTATCATTTTCCATTAGCTAGTATCATTTTCAGGGATTGTTCTGATTTGTTTTTGTATTCTTGCACTTACATCCAGCCTCATTACTCTCCACACAGGACATACAGTAAATAGATGACTCAAAGTGATATATGTGATTGAATAAGTACCTTATCACTAGTTATCAGCAAGAATTTATTAAAATTTTGAATTAAATATTGGGACAAACTTGCCTCACTTCTCTCTGAAAAACAGTTGTGGATATATCATTGCATATTCCCTTCGACCTCATCAGATGTAAAAATACAGTCAAAGATCTGAAGTAAGACCATTTTAAAAATGTTTTACTAGCTCACATTTATACCTGGGTAATCTTTTGTTAAATAAATTATATTTTTCTGTGCTAAATTCCACCTCCGTGCACCTCAGACATTCCCAGTTTTGTCTATCAAGCACTGCAACCTATTATTGAATCACTTATGTCTGCCTAAATTACATGGACTTTAGGCAAGATTTGATCAAATGGGCTTTTTATTTTGTCTCAAACTCACCAGTTAAATGTGTTATAATTGTATTTTGTAAGCAAACAGATATGACTTGAACACCCCTCAAGTTCATGCCTGTTAGCTGTAGTCTAAAGCACTAGCAAGCAAACATAAGGAAGGATCAAACTTCAACCTGTAGCTATTTATTATTTCTTTTTATGGGGCATCTTATATCTGTGTTTACTCATGTCATTTTATTGTCCAGAGTTGGTCAGGCATATGAAATAATTAAGATTTGCATGGGTTTCTCAAGCACTGTAACAGACAGCCTTTCTCCGCTGCTCTCAAAAAAGGAGCTCTAGCAGCATTTATAAAAGTGTATTTTTTCCACTTTGGCTTAGTCCACCTTAAATTTGTCTTGTCTCTTGCATATAGAAATTTCTCTTGATTCTTTGAATCTTTTAATGATATTATGTGCTGTAGATGTTGAAATACCCAAATTCTTTACCATGTTATGCTGAAAAACATTATTTATTTGCCCACACAGACTTTTACAGAGTGGTGAACCTCTCCCCATCTGTACTTCTTAAAGACTCAGCCTCTCTGGGATGCTCTTTTTATACCCAATCATGTTACTGACCTGTTCCTAGTTAACCTAATTAGTTGTCAGCTGTTCCACCAGGTGTATTATTGCACGTTATGTTCTGTGGCAGATATCTGATCATTCAGCTGTGTTCCCCTATGTTGTACTGTCTACATAGGGCCAGTTTGTTTTCTTTTTAGGGTGTTTACATTCTTTGTTATGCTATGTCTGAATGAACATGAATGCTAGACTACATATGAGCAAATGCTAAGGTTTTGATTGAGCTATATGTGGTCAATAAATAGGTTTAGACCTGCAAAACATTTAGTATTGAAGCAAGTACTTACAATATACTTTAATTATAGTATGAATTATGATTATAAAAAATCATAATTTAGCTGAAAAAATAACAACTATAAAATACTTAAAATTATCGGAATCGGGCTGAGCCTGGCCCATTGTCATCAAAAGATACATCCAGGCCTGTGCTGGATGATTTGGGACCAACTCAGCTGCTGCGATCAGGCCAGTTGATTCAGGTCGGATCTGGGCAATCGTTCAAAATAGACTTGGGCCGATTATTTTTTGCTGGCAGGTAGGAATGGGCCTGGAGGTACATTATGCTATCTGGGACTAGATAACCCACCAGCTGCTAAATATCCCACTAAGAATGACCTAATCTGCTAGTGGTGAACTAAGCTGCACACTGCTTGCTAATGCGGTGGCTGTCATATATCCTGCTAGGTGTAGCAAAACCTGCTAGCTGCAAGGCAATGATGTAGCTATGACCTTACCCACTAGCTGTGAGCTAAACTCACTAGGCATCACGTAATTTGCTATCCATGGCCTAACCAGCTAGCCATGACGTAACCTGCCAGTTGGAACCTAACTTGCTCACCATGACCCAACCCACCAGCCAATACACTCTTCATAACATAACCCTGACCTACCCCACAAGCCCTGACCTAACGCACTAGCCATGACCTAACTCGCTAGCCACAACTTAACTCACTAGCTAACTATGATCTAACCCACTAGCTCTGACCTGCTAGCCACAACCTTACAGGCTAATTGCGACCTAACCCATTACTCACGACCTAACCTGGTAGCCATGATTTAACATGCAAGCCATGGGCTGACCCAAAAGTTGTTTTTGTTTTGCTGTAAAATAAATCAGATGTTAGTTTGATCAATAGTTTATTTTATGAAGTATATATAATTGTGTGAGTTGTATCAGTTCTTTATTGTAGATCTTCCACTGATTCTGTGTACATCATTTTCATCTGCATCATCGTCTCCAAACCAGAGAAATATAGAGTAAAATACAGAATGTTCAAAGATAAAGCACTTATAAGCTTCCACAGGAAAAGACAAAGCTTTATTTCCACCTTCATTTACAAATTCATAGAGGATCCAACGAGAAAAAAAGAATGAGGTAATGATTCTATACAATGTGTTTAACTGAACATTGCCATTTATGATCAAAGTAGACAAATCACATGCATACACAAACACACCATGTCATTTTATCTCACACACACATATACACTGAGTTGTCTTGATGATCAACTCTAAATCCAGCATAGAGCGGTTCAGTGAATGTAGTGTTGAATGTGTGTAGGCGTATCAGTGTGTGTGTATCAGAGGAGATGCTGTAGAAGGAAAGAGTGCCGGCAGGACAGTCCACATACACTCCTACTCTCTTACAGCTGGAGGGAGGAGCAGAGACAGCAGTGCTGTTCTTATTGTGATAGACAGAGTAACTGTTATCAGAGCAGATCAGACTCCAGGACTTTTCATTCCCTCCAAACTCACTGTCATAACTGCCTCCTTTCCTGCTGATTGATTTATATGTCAGAGCTACTTCAGCCTCTCTCCCGCTCCACTCAGCCTCCCAGTAACAGCGTCCAGTCACACTCTCTCCACACAAAACCTGCGTACAGTAATCAAATCTCTCTGGATGCTCAGGATATGACCGAGAAGATCTCACTTTTGTCACCTTTCTGTTCCCATCAGACAGAGAGAGTTTTCTGTGTGCTGTATTTGGATCCAAAGTAAACTCACAGGAATCTGCACACAAGAAGAGACATTAGAGTGTGTGTGGGAGAGAGAAAGTGTGTGTGTGTGCGTGTGTGTGTGCGTGTGTGTGTGTGTGTGTGTGTGTATGCGTGTGTGTGTGTGTGTGTGTTTGTGTGTACTTACATTTCTTCAGTCCTGGTTTGATTCTTATCTCACCTCCATGTTCCACACTAAACACACACACACACACACACAAACACACACACACATTAATATATTCAGTTAATATTCTCATCTTCCTCTCTATCTGTCCCTGTCTGTGAAATTCAAATTCAGAAAGCTTTATTGGCATGACCTGCAATTAACAACAGTTGCCAAAGCAATGAATAGAATGCTTAATATGTGGATAATATTCTAAATATATAATAAAATAGAATAAAATAATGAAATAAAGTTAAATAAATAATACATTTATATGTGATTAGTTTAAGCTTGTGTTTCATGCTGTTCTGTCTGTGTAACAGCTGTAAACATATTGATCTGAGAGTTTAACACATTATGGTGTCTTTTCTAAATACATGCCAATCATATCTTCAGTTTTAATCACTTTGTCTTCAAATGATTGATATCAGTTATAATCGAACTGAAATAATCTTCTCTGAGATCTTTATATTTACTGCATGAGGCAAGAAAATGGTGTTCTGTTTCTGTTTCTGCTGCACTAAGTGTGTAAATTGTTGAGGTGTTTCTTTGGGATTTGTCATTGGGAGTTTCTTAAAATTTCCTAAAAAATTTTTATTTAGAGCTTTTGTTACATAATATTAATATACAATGTCTCATGAATATTAATCACATAACACATAACACGGAACATAACAAAAACACACATGGATGAGTGAGAAATCCGACCGGCCCCCTTTGCATTAAAAGCCAGGTTAGGTCAGGAGTCACAACCCAAATGTTAAGAAGGGCCATTTTGTCCTTTCAACAAAAATCAAACCACCTTGGGAGCCGCAACATTTTATGTTCAGTATGTGATAATGTCCTAGTTTAGGCTAAAAAATATAAACGAAAACGTGGACTTACTCTGCTCTGCTTTAAGCTTCAGCCGCTTTTTTTTTTTGCCGCTTTTCCTCCCTTCTCCGCCGGAAAACTTTTCCTCAAAAGTTGAATAGTTTCTTGTAAAATGTCTCTCAGCTTTCGGCTGTTTTACGAGGCTGAAGTTGCTTCTCACTCGCAAGCTTTTTGCTGAACTTTCCCGTTCCACCTTAAATTCTGACTGAGGCGCCGAATGTAAATGCGGCACCATTTAAGGTGGAACGGGAAAATTAGAAAGAGAAGCTGACTTCATCTTCGCAACTTTTTAGTTAGTGTTTGATAGTCTCTCATTGCAGATTTAATGTACCAGGAAACCAACTGCGCTGCTCATAAATGAGAATAAGTCCATTCATCTCCAAATGTTCGTCTGTCTTTCTCTTTTCCTTTTTGTTTGCTACTAGCTCGGCGACACCTCATTGCTATGTGACCTGCAGTCTTTCACACCCCATTACGAGACCAAAACCGAAGTTATAAAATCACTAAAGAATATATAATGTGCTGCGTGGTCATCCATTACCACTGGATCTTATTTCACTGTAACAGCGCATTTTATGACAGATAAGTGGCAGCAGCGTCTCCAAACAAGACTAGTGAATGAGAGCCTTCTAGTGCACTTGCCACATCACTTCCATTTGTTTTATTAATAAAAGATATTGGATGCAAAAGCTTTGTTTTAAAACTACCAAGTTCTCAGACAGTAAGACATCCTTTGGTACAACACCTATGACTAAAAAGAACCTCTGCCTCTCATTCCTTCCCCATTCAGTTTCATTCCCACCATCACTATGAGCATAACATAAATACATCATTTGTTTATTCATTTTATTAAGAATTAAATTAACAGATTTAAATTAATTCTGTTAATTTAAACAATAAGGCTCTTTTCATAATATCTTTCTCTTGCTTCCACAGGAATGTTATTTTAGGTGGCACAAAGCAAGAAGCAGAGTGAGAAACAAAAAAAATCTATGTGCTCTATCTATACTTATTTTGGCACATTTTACTGTAAATTTGTTGCACAGTACACTGTTCCCTCTCATTTTTCATAACCATTTAGACTAAGTAGGTAAATAATTTGCAATCAGGAAAATTATCCTCAAACACTCCACTTTTCATATTTTCCATATCAAACATTTGTGTTTTGTTGACTTTCAACATCCGACAGATCACTATCAGAAATGTCTAATGCACCAAAGTATCTTCTTCTTCTTCTTCTTCTTCTTCTTCTTCTTCTTACCAGTATTATCTCCCTTTATTTTACTTTAACCTCAAAAAAATCTCTTTAGTTCCTGTCTCCATTCCCTGTCCTTCCAGGATTGATACTGCAGCAGCAATAGCTTCCACCAATTTCAACTTTGTTATAGTAATCACTTATTTCCTTTAGAGACACTAAACACTTCTTTATACTATTCATAAACCTTTATATATATAAAATAAAATATTTAATATAAGCCGCTTATTACTTTTGGTTCCTAATAGATCTTAAAAGTGTAAGAACATTTCAGAATAAGAAGCTAATGTTAACAAAAAAAAAAACAAAAAAGGTTTAAATGGTTTTAATTAATTTTATATTAATTAATTTCATTAATTTATTTTAATGAAGCTAAAGTTAGGCTAATTGCATTACCTGATTTTCTAATCAATTTATTCATCCTTATTCTATCATTCATTGATATACTTCTCCCACAGCAAATCATAGCATAAAAGAACACTTGCTACAATACCCTAATATTAATTATAATATTATTAAATATCATCCCACTTAGACTACTGCATCTCCCTTCTCATTGGTGTTCCTTACAACCTGCCCTCCTCAGTATTTATGAAACTCAGCTGCTGGAATATTCTCTCACTCTAAAAAATCAGCTCATATCACCCCAATTCTATGTCAGTTACACTGTTTACCTGTCCCACCTTCTATTACTAGTTTAAACTCTTCCTGCTAACTTACAGAACTCTACATGGTATAACCCTAGCCTATTCAGCTAAGCTCCTGCACCCTTACTGCCCTGCCCAAACACTTAGGTCCTCTGGCACAGGTCATCTAGCTGTCCCAAAATTTAGACTGGTTGCTGTTGGTGGCAGATCATTTAGCATCATAGCACCCAAACTTTGGAACACATTACCACAGTCTCTCTGTGAATCTCCCCAACTTTAAATCTAAACACTATCATTCTTCTCCTTACTGATGTTTCTTTTTTTCTCTCCCTGCCTCTGTAGTAACCTTGAATTTGAGAAAGGCGCTATGTAAATTTAATGTTGTTGTTGTTGTTGTTGTTATTTTTATTATTAAAATTATTTGACATCTGAATAAAAAAAGAGTTACCAACTTTGTTGTTATTTCCAACTTTGTTTTCTAATTACCTTCAAGAAACTTACACCTCTGAACTATTTCAAGCTGATTCAAACTATTTCTGAACTATTTTAATCTTGGCTGGAATAACCTCCTGCTCCTAAAATCAATAATGAACTCTTTAGTTTTTGCAACAGCTGACAAAATATTTAATTTTCTTAAACAAGTTTATTCATTACCTTTAATTCTGTGAAGCAGCCACAAAAAAGTCTCTCTGCCATTTAATCTACTCTTTTTTATTAATACCTTGACATATCACTAATATAATTGGTTTTATTTGAGATGTAAAGCATAATGTAACAAAGCGAAAAACTAGTCGACTTTTATTTAGTCTTACAAATGAACTTGAAGAAAATCTATGATTAGGAATATAATAGTCAGACATCCATTGATTAGGACTATAACAGTTAAACACTTCTTATAACAATAACCTGGTTGAACAAATCAATAATAAGCTCCTTCTGAACCAAACAGCACTGGATGAGTTTGTGCACTCAGCTAAAAAGTAAATCTTGTGCAACTTTTTACAATGACAGAAAAAATGGTAAAACATAGAACTCTCAGATTCTACACACTGATCTATTTTACTATGGCCAGGGTGGACATACATGCCATGTAATTGATCTGGCGACAGCTTTTTGTTAAATTGCCACATTTTCAGAATAGATTGTTGGCCAAGTCGACCAAAACAAAGTAGAGCAGAATTATCTGAAAATTTCTGCAGAGAGCATTACTATAGGGGACCACATTCCCTCCTCACTTGAACAGTATCAAAAATTTAGTTTAAATTCTAACAAACTGTGGTCTAAACAGAGGCGTTAGTGTGGTTTAAAGTGGTTTTAGTGTGGTGTTAAAAGTGCTAAAACTAAAATCATGTTCCTGACAGAACTTGCAGTGCAGCTATTTCCAAGTGACTGTAAATATGAAATATATGTATCACCAATACATATGCATCACACTTTTCCTGTTAGCAAACTAGAGAAGGTCTTGAAATGATTAACTCTGTCTACTCTAGACCAAGTTTGTTTTTAGAGAACCCTTTCAAAGCCTTTTATTATTTGAGAGATTAATGCTATGGGCGTAAATTCATGAAATTCACAGGTGTGTTGTTTCATGAAAATTGCTACCAAGTTTTCCACACTATGTTTTAGACCAAAGAGTGTCAAACTTAACCACTAAAAGATGCATACTAAAAAAATCCATGGGCCAAATGTGTTTTTCTTTCATTTTCCTTAAGATGACCTGAACGGGCCATTGTTTATTCAAAATATGCCAAAACTGCAACAGCAAAATAGGCACTTAATACTTAATAAAAATTACTTCTAATTAAAAATACATAGTTTGTTATTTTTTAACTGTCTATGTGCTTGAACTAGACACCATCTTTTTTGTGTAATTGCTGGCCCATAGATTGTTGCTGGGGGAAGGGGGTCAGAATGCACACCATATTGTGCATGCTGTGCATGCAGGGGACTGTAGTACATCTTAGGGTGAAACAGGCTACTAAGAAAAGAAAATTAAAATAATTTTGCAGGCCAAATAGGACTGTGTATGGGCTTGACTTGAGGCCACAGACCTTGGGTTTGACACATGGGTTTTAGGAAGAGAGAGTGACATGCAAATACAGTTCCAATACTATAGAATACATTTATTGTAATATAGTATATTGTGCAATTACTACACTATAGTTAACAGTTTCTATATTACAGTATACTGTACAACTGCTGAACTATACTGTACAATTGTTATATTACAGTATATTGAATGACTACTATACTGTAGTGGGCGTTAACTGTACTTATGCTAATTATACTACACACTTATTATAATATGGTCATCAAACAAACCAAAAAACAACAATAAACTAGAAACAAATAAAGTTCCACATGAATGCCCCCTGCTGTGTGCTGAGATGCTGTGTTACTGGTTAGCCTGTCTGAAGCTTCTGCTATTACAATTTTTAATTTGTTGGCTGTTGTAAATAGCAAACATTTTTAAATTGAAAAACATATACTCCTACAACAGTCTGTAGCTTGGAAAGATTATTTTCATGAAAAACAGAGAGTAAGCCAGTGGTTCCACAAACAACAAAATAAGCTTGCCATCTTTGCCATCAAGTAAACAGGGGGAAGCACACAAAAAGACAGTAGTGAGCAGTGAGCTAATAGTGCTGCTTCTGAGCCAGCCAAGAAAAAAAATAATAAAATAGGAGCTCTACAAGGATGATATTTTAAAGGTTGAATATCTAGGAGTAGTATGTTGGAGAGCTTTGTCAGAAATACAGAACAAGCATATGAGACATTTTTCAGTTCAATAATTCTGATTCACACACACACACACACACACATAGACCTCTGAACCCCGTTGTTCATACCTGAGTGTGTTGAGTGAGCAGTGTGGATCCTCCAGTCTAGCAGAGAGCAGCTTCAGTCCTGACTCTCCTGGGTGGTTGTAGGTCAGATCCAGTTCCTTCAGGTGTGTGGGGTTTGAACTCAGAGCTAAAACCAGAGCAGAACAGCCTACCTCTGTGATCATACAACCAGATAATCTACAGAGAGAGAGGGGAAAGAGGAAAATACAGAGAGACAGGTTAGTATTTTATAGGTTATTAATCAATAAAGAACCAGTAATGCTGTCCAAACATATCTGTATTACACACACACACACGCACACACACACACACACACACACACTCACACACATATTTTCTGAGCTGCTTATCCTCCTGGGTCACAGGGGGGTGCTGGAGACTCATTGAGCAGAAGGCAGGAACCACCCTGGACAGGTCAATAGTCCATCACAGTGCTTGTTAAGATCAATGCAAAACAAAGCTATTTCCATTTAATACTCCTCTCTTAATTAATGCAATTTTTAATAATATTAATTTGATATTTAAACAATATAATCTAACAAAACAATATTCATAGATTTTTATTGTTTTATTTTTGTTTGTTAAAAAAATATTTGGTTCATAACAATTGCATAAACATTGAATAACATTTATAAAGTAACAATTCACTATTTATAAATTGCTTATGCGAGTATTTGAAAAAAAAAACAAGATTTATAAATGACATTGCATTGACACAAAGGGCCTTAAACTAAAATCTAAGATGTTTGTTCCAATTTTAACACTGTTACGAAGCATAATTCCCATGTAAAAGAACTTAGAAGGCAGAGACCTAATTAAGAATGCCATATGTTTGTAACAAATATATGACAGGGTACAAGTGTGAGTGTTTATTGTTCTTACATGCATCCAAAAGACATGCAGACAGGGAAAGGATATGGGGATCCATGACACAACACAAACATGAAAACTCTAAGAACTGAGATAAACAAAGAAAGACTAAGAAAACCAGAAAACACTAAAACTAGAACAAATACAATGAAAATATGAGCAGAGAAAATACCATGAAAGTGAACATAAACATAGACATCAATATTGAACAATGCTGGCTGGGGAACAAAGGAAACAAAGGGGTATATATACCAACACAGAAGACAATGACCTGAGGACACATAACAAGGGCAGGGCTAGAAATGAGGAACAGGTGAGGGCTAAAGACAGGCCACACTAAGAAATCTAATGAGCCTGTATTTGATGCATAAGGGGGAGCCAAACCTGAATGGCTTGTTTAGTCCCATGTTTTCTGACTTAGAGAGCACACAAAAAGGCCAAAAACCAGTATCAGCTAGCCATGATCTTTGGGACCGCAGGTGGCACTGCATTAAAAACAGAGATGATTCTGCATTGGAAATCACTACATGGGCTCAGGAACACTTCTGAAAAACACTGTCTGTGAAAACAGTTCATCACTGCATCCATGAATGCAAGGTAAAACTCTACCATGCAAAGAAGAAATCTTAGATAAAAAGGACCCAGAAATGCCACCTCCTTCTCTGGGTCCAGGCTCATTTAAGATGGACTGAGGTGAATTGGAATAGTGTCCTGTGGTCCGCCGAATCAAAATTTGAAATCCTTTTTGGAAATCATGGACACTGTCCTCCAGGCTAAAGACCATTAGGTTTGTTATCAGCACACAGTTCAAAAGCCAGCATCCATGACGGTATAGGAGTGCATTGGTGTACATAGCATGGGTGACTGGCAAATCTGTGAAGGCATCATTAATGCTGAAGGATATATACAGGTTTTGGCAACATATGTTGCCATTCAGACAACGTGTCTTTCAGGAAAGTCCTTGATTATTTCAGCAAGACAATGTAAAACCACATTCTTCACATATTACACCAGCATGACTCCACAGTAAAAAAGTTAGGGTGTCCAGACCTGTCACCCACTGAAAACATATGGCACTTTATGAAACGAGAAATACAACAATAGAGACCAGCTAAAATCCTATATCAAGCAAGAATGGGAAAACATTTCACTTTCAAAACTACAGCAGTCAGTCTGCTAAAGGTCTGCTGAAAACTTGCTGAGTCAGAAATGTTAGCAGTACTGGCACCAAATGTCTGAAGAGTTGATGGCCTCTAAAAGCTCTCACAGAAAATTATTACATGAAGTTGTTATGAATATGCTGATTGTAGAGGAGGCCTTGTTTTAGAATAGTTTCATAAAAGTTTTGGCTCAAAATGTATTTTCCATTTCATGGTGGAGAAGTTCATTCATAGCATTGTAAAGCAAAATACAGTTTATACTTCTTGTTGTATGCACATACAGGCAATAAACACCTGTCACTGCATTGACAAATGCAAGTTAAGACTATATATGCACAGTGGAAGCCATATGTCAACAATGTCCAGAAATACTCTCGACTTTTCTGGGCTAAAGCTCATCTGAAATAGACTGATGCATGTCTTATTAAGTCATGTTAAGTGCAAAATATGACAGGCCATGTACAGTTGTTTAGCAGAAGACTGGCAAAAAAATGTGCTTTCAAAACTGGATCAGTTTGTGTCTTCAGTCCCCAAATAAATGATTATTAATCATTCTTAAAAAGAAGAGTGCAAAACCATGGTAAACATGCTCCTGTCCCAACTTTTTGGAAAGTACTGCAGGCCTTACATTAGGAATGATGGTATATTTGTAGTAAAATGTATCGTCAAGTATTTTGTCTTTGTACCGTTTTCAATTTAATACAATTCAGACAGAATTTATTAAATTATTCCTTTCTGTTTTTGCATATCACATATTGTCCCAACTTTTTTCTTTTTTGGAATTGGGTTTGGAATATGGATTTTAACATATTGAAAAAAAAATTGTAACATAAAACATAAACCGTTTGCACAGACCACCTTTTTGTCTGTCTCATTATATGTTAAATTCAGAAAAATAAACTGTGAATATTCATTAAAATCTATGCACAGGATGTGTAATTGTTTTCACTTAGAAAATCAACAACACATGCTTTGACCAGAGGCACACAAACGTTTGCATATGACAAGATATATAAGCACAAAATATGTGTGTATGCTCACTGGTGGTTTGGGTTTGTGAATAAAATAGCTATATTTGTTTTGGGCACTTTTGGAAAATATGTTTTGGAAAACTCAAATGTGGAATTCCAGCTTAAATTAATTACAAATCGTCAACGTTTTGTTACAGTATTAGCTAACAGAAGGCCTACCTTAGTATTTCCAGTTTACAGTGTGAACTCTTCAGTCCACCAGAGAGAACCTCCACGCCTGAATCTTGGAGGTCATTGTTACTGATATCCAGCTCTTTCAGGGAAGAGGTTTCCAGTTTTAAAACTGATTCCAGATGATCACAAGTCTTTTTTCCAAGGTTACACAAAGCAATTCTGCAAAGCAAGAGTTAATAAAATAGATCTTACATTACAAGCAAAAGGATTTTTTAAACAATGTTTTAAATGTCTTGTTTGAGTAACTCACCTAAGATTTCATATATTGTTTTAATTACTGGGATGATTAGACTACAAAATATAATAGAATTCCTTAGCCACAAAAATCAAAGTGTAAAAAAATGTAAGTAATGAAATTAATATAAAATGAAATGAGTTTACAGATACTTTGCAGATTTTTTACCATTCCAAAAGCTAACCTGAGTATTTCCAGTTTACAGTGTGAACTCTTCAGTCCAGAAGAGAGGATCTCCACTGCTGAATCTTGCAGGTCATTGTTACTGATGTCCAGCTCTTTCAGAAAAGAGGTTTCCAGTTTTAAAACTGATTCCAGATGATCACAAGTCTTTTTTCCAAGATTACACCAAGGTAGTCTGCAAAGCAGGAGTTAATACAATAGACCTTACAAGTATTTTTTAACAGTGTTTTAAATGTCTTGTTTAAATAAGTCAGCTGAGATTCACATATTTTTACATTACTCTGATGGTTAGAGTAAGAAATAGAATACTGTACCCACAAGAAATAAAAAGGAAAAACCCAAAGTAATGAAATGAGTATCCTGAGCTTGTAAGTACTTTACAGTTTTTTACCCTTCCAAAATCTGACCTGAGTATTTCCAGTTTGCAGTGTGAACTCTTCAGTCCACCAGAGAGCAGTTCCACTCCTGAATCCAATAGTTCATTATTACTGAGGTCAAGTTCTTTCAGAGAGGAGTTTGGTTGGTTTAAAACTGATTTCAGATCTTCACAGGCTTTTATCCCAAGATTACATGAAGCTAATCTGCAAAGGGAAAATAAATACAAGGCAGAGCAATACATTACAATGATTTTAATAATTGTTTAGTTTAAATAGGCTATGAATGTTCTAGTCACTAAGACTGCTGTTAAATTAAGAAAGTTATCAGTGTGACATATGTGAAAAAGGGGTGGAGATTGAGAGATAGTGTGAAGAAGCAGCTGAGAGTGTGTTATGGTTCTCTATGAACTGCAGCAACGAGTAGCAGAAGCAGTTGTGTTTTCTACATTAAAAGTGGGTCCACCGATACTCTAATGCCGAGGCCTCCCCTCTACTTTGTGTTCCTTGTCCTCGTTACCTATCGCCAACTGAACTAACCTACAGCCCCAACTCCAAGACCACGACAGACGAAACTGAAGATTTACACTAACAAATACACTGGTACACTAAATCAACGTCCACTTTAAAACCACTGCTACCTTAAATCCACTCCTGCCTAAAATACATTGATACCTTAAATCCTGTTACCTTACATCCCCTGGTATGTTAAAATTACTTTTACATTAAATCCAGTGCCATCTTAAATTCATCTTATTTCCACTGGTGCCTTAAATCCACTGCTACATTAGGTGCACTGCCACCTTAAATCTGTTGCTACCTTAAATCCATTGCTACTATGAATTCATTCCTACCTTAAATTCACTGTTACCTTAAATTATCTGTTACCCTAAAGACACTTGCACCTTAAATCAAATGCTACCTGAAATCCACTGTTATCTTAAATCCTAAAACCTTAAAACCACTGCTAATTTAACTTGGTACCGGTTCAAGTATTCACCCAATGTTATTAAAAAGCCATGCGTAGCTACAAATTACAAAGCGATTTTAATATCCAACATCCATTAGACATGTAACAGTATGTACTAGGCATTACTTGTAAATACTTCATATTTACCTGTTAACTACTGGAAACTTGTTTTATTTCATGGTATTGTAGATAGATATATAGTAATTACTAGGAGTTGGTGCTACAAAGCAATGATTACTGAGAAGTACTTAGTTGTTGTGTATTTACATTTTCAACATGTAAAGTATCCACCAAATATCTATTTTCTGAATCATTTAGAATAAAAGCAGGGAAGCACTGTATCTAAGTCATATGTGAATTATGTTTGATATTTGAACTTCTTGTTTTGCCCACCTTTAAAATAATGAAATGGAGATGGTACTTACATAGCACATCTTGTATTTTTCAACACTGGCAGTAGTCTGTTCAGTCCTTCCTCTAATGGCATGTATTTCTTGAGCTCAAACTTTTCTTGAGTCTCCCCTGACATTAGTAACACAAACACCAGAGCTGACCACTGTGGAGATGAGAGTTTCCGTTTTGAGAGATCTCCTGAGTTCAGGTATTTCTGGATCTCAGTTGTCAAAGAATTGTCTTTGAGTTCACTCAAACAGTGGAAGAGATTCATGTTTCTGTCAAATGACATTTCTTCATGCAGTTTCTTCTTGATATAGTCAGCTGTGTCCTTAACACTCTCTGCTTTGATCTTCAGATTTGGCAGAAGTTCAGTTAGGACATGCCGACTATCCTCCAGTGAGAGGCCCAGGAGGAAACGGAGGAAGAGATCCAGGTGTCCTTTTTCATTCTGCAAAGCTCTTTCTACTGCAAACTTATGGAGATCTGTTATTCTCTTATTCTTTCTTTTAAGCTTGTTCAGGAATGTGTCCTGTTTGAATGCATCCCTTTTCTTGTTACTGTGTGAGTAATGCACATATAATGCTGCAAGGCTTTCCTGAACACTCAGATGCACAAAGCTGAAAATGTTCCTCTCAGAAACTCCCTCCTGCTGACTGAAAATCTGTGTGCACACTCCTGAGAACACAGTGCCATCACTGACATCGATGCCACATTTCATAAGATCACCCTCACAGAATATCAGAGTACCACTTTCAAGATTACAAAAGGCCAGTTCACCAAGCTTCAGAATGATGTGCTCTGCATCAACAGTTGTGGTTTTCTCACTGTATTTCTTTTTCATTAAGTTTTTCTGCTTCAGTAGGAAGCTGATGTACATTGCTGTCAGGGTTGTGGGGATGTCCTTATTGCTGTCTTGAACCATCAGAGGTTGAAGCACAGTGGCAGAGATCCAGCAGAACACTGGGATTTGACACATGATGTGGAGACTCCTTGATTTCTTTATGTGTGAAACCATTTTCATTGCCATGTCTTCATTATAGTATTTGCTGAAGTATGCCTCCTTTTGTTCATCATTAAAACCTCGCACTTCTGTAACCAGGTCGATGTGTTCCCGGGGAATGAGATGGCCTGCTGCTGGTCGGCAAGTTATCCAGATTAGAGCAAATGGAAGCAGATTTCTGTTGATAAGATTTGTGATCAGTGATCCCACTGAGGTCTTCTCACTGATATCTTTTACTTCCTCTCCATCCTCAAAGCAAAGAGGAAAGTGGCACTCATCCAGTCCATCAAAGATAAACAAAACTTTACCATCATCCTTTGGAAGAGACTTCAATCCAGTTTTTGAAGAAAAAAAACAGTAATTCAGTAGTTCAATCAAACTGAAATTCTTTTCTTTCTTCAGATTCAGTTCACGGAAGGGAAGAGGGAAAACAAAGTTTATGTCCTGGTTCTCTTCTCCCTTTGCCCAGTCAAGTACAAATTTGTTAACTGATACAGTTTTGCCCACTCCAGCAATTCCCATTGTCAAGACTTTTCTGTTTCTTTTACTGGTACCAGCCTGGACCTTGAAAAGGTCACTGCATTTGGCACAAACTTCCTTATCAGCAGGTCTGTTGAAAGACATCTCGATTTGATTGATTTCATGCTCATGAATGACTCCTCCACTTTCATTCTCCACTATAATGAGGTCAGTGTAGATATCCTCCAAGAACTTTGTATGGCCTGTCTGTGAATTCCCGATTAGTATGCGTTCATATAGATGCCTGAGGGTGGACTTCAACTGGATGCAGTGCTGTTGATCTTCTGTGAGAGAAATAAGAAACAAGGTATTTCTTATGAGGTAGCTAGTTAGCCTAGGGTAGTGTATGTCAAAATTACAAAGAAGAAATGATATGATATGACTGTATCATCAGTCTGATGGCACAAATTAGCACGAGAGAGAAAGTGGGAGGGAACTAAGAGAATTATTTCTTTCCAAGGAAGTTTGGTACAAAATCATAATAATGTTTTTCTTTTATGATTTGATTTATGATTGTTTCAGTGATTGATGTGTGTATCTATGTGTTACTATGCCTGTCACAATCATAAGATGTAGCTAATGATTGATTGTCATAAACATAATTGCAATTAATGATTTAATAACCTTTTCTTATTCATTGAATATAACTCTTAAAGTGCAAGCCTAAAATGGCTGAATTGTCTGATTAGGCATCTTCCTTCCTAGCTATATTTGATAATTAGTTAAGACTGGCTGTACTGTTCCAGTGATAACTACATTATTGTGGTCGTGCCCAAATACTCAAATGTCTATAATTACAAAGATTCATGTGGAGTCTACATTTTGGTAAGTTCTCTCCATAGAACAGTGTTTACTGATGTATTAGCAACTCTGAGGTAGTGAGTTTGGGTCCCATGTAGGCAATCGTCTGAAGTTTTCAAAGTACTGGTAGAACTGGTAATGTAAAGCTGAGCCTGTGAGGTTTAGAATGTGTTACTTCACTGTGGCATTTAGGGGCATGGTTAACATGGCTGGGCACCAGAATTGGGAGGTCTCTGTACCTCAGCGCACTCAGGCAGATGAGGCACACCTGAATTTGCTGTACCCTGTTCATGGTCATGCTCTCCATCACAATAAAGATTTGTCTTGGTTTTCTTCAGGAGTGGGCACAAAAATACTGAGTGACATTTTTTGTTTGTTCTGTTTATTTCTCCCCCTGATGGCAAAGTATGCCCTAAGGCCCAACTAAAATAAAAGTTATGCCAGTTTGTTTGCCGAGGCTGTTCTGGTGTGCATCTGGGATAACACAAATGAAAATTATCATACTTGTGCCAAAACCTGTGATCTCTAAGATCAAGGAATTTTTCTTTTTTTTTTCTCATACCCTGATTATTACAACCAAAAGAATGAGAGTATATGTTAGGACATACATTATGAAACTCTATTTTACTGTAATGTAGTAGTAAAGGTAACAATTATGAAGTGTTGAGTTTACCTGCAGTGAGAGCATTAACTGATTCTCCAGTCTGAGCTGCAGTGGAGGAGGCTGCTGTACTCTGACCAGGTACTTCTTTTTCATCAGCTGACAGTGGACAATAGGAAGAGAAAAGAGAAAAAATCTGTTTTAGTTATTGCCTAGCTATGTCAGGAGCAACTTTGTTTGGAAATATCCTTTCACTCCTGTCAGCTAATTATGATGAACAGAACACACATTTCTTAAGATCATCTTCATAGAATATCAGAGTACCACTCTCAAGATTACAGAAGACCAGTTTACTAAGCTTCAAAATGATATAATCAGCATCAACAGTTTTGGTCTTCTCACTGTATTTCTTTTTCATTATGTTTTTCTGCTGCAGTAGGAAGCTGATGTACATTGCTGTCAGTGTTGTGGGGATGTCCTTATTGCTGTCTTGAACCATCAGAGGCTGAAGCACAGTGGCAGAGATCCAGCAGAACACTGGGATTTGACACATGATGTAGAGGTTCCTTGAATTCTTTATGTGTGAAACCATCACATGATGTATAAATTCTATTTTGCCCTATTTTTATTTTTTATTATCAGCCTCATCTGAACAATTTATTAAAACAATTCTAGTAAACATTTATTAGGAAAGTATACTTTGATGATGAGTAAATATCAAATTCACTTTAATTTTCCCCAGTCCTAAACCTAATGCTGATCTTAACCTTTACTTCAATCCAAAACCTAATCTAAAAATTACATGTTAATTTTCTCTTTGTTAATAAAGAACAAGTTAGAAATTGTAGTGGAAATTAGCTGCAAATAAATCAGTAATGGTAACAATTTGTACTAAACTAAAAATCAAATATTCTAGTTGTCAACAAGTAATATTAGTAATTCTAGTGGTAACTAGATGGTAAAATATAATAATGGTAACAAATGCAAATTACTGATAACTAAAGTGTTTACCTTTCAGTTGGTACAAAATATCATATTCATAGAAATAAAGTGTCCAGCATAATATCTTCTTAATGTATCTCCTTTTTATTTTATTTTTAAAAATCATTTTAGGGTTATATAATATTAAGGTTACCCCAAACACAGTGTGGTAGTTCTGCTGAAATGATGGGTATTAGTGCTATAAAATAGTAATTCACTTGTTTCTACTTTGTTTATTATGACTTTATGTCTTTAAATAGTCATGCACAGTATGATGTACAGACACAGTTACAGGCTGTAATGACAGTGAAACTAAATGGTACTATAAAGTGTAAACTTACTTATTTCTATCTTGTTTCTTAGTTACTGCGTCTCACATCAGGTAATAATATCAATTTTTCAGAATAATTTGGCCAACTGCTCTGAAATTGTGTCTGCAATTATATTATGAAAATTACTTTATTACAATTACTCATGGTTGCTCCTTTACTTTTCCACATACAACCACCTACAGACTGTGGTAGTTACCCAGGAACAGATAAGGCAAATATGAGAAAGGAACAGATAAGGCAAAAAATGAGAAGGAGGATCTGTAAGCCTGTTTAAGTGCCAGAAAGTCACATACAGAGCACTGCACTATAGGATGATGTCACCACTAGCCACTGGCTTCATCCTGACAGTGACCCACTCACACACAAAACCCTAAAATTAAACCCACACCCCAAAACAGGATAACACAACCAACACACACCTAACTGTAACTAAAAACATTAACAAAATAAAGAGTGTCTAGGCCCTTTTTGCTGTGAGGCGACTAGTGCCTGGTGACCTACCAGCTCAAGCCAAGTCCCTGGGCACACACACAGTCCCAGCCAGCACAAAACCACTGGCCACTTGCTCTTCAGTGGTATGCACCTTCATTCTTCTTTTGTGGCTGCATCCCCTCCTGCACATTGCAGAATACCCCACATCACACTTTGTCAAGTCCCGCACAGCTGAGGGCTATAACAGTGACAGCAGCACTACTGTCCATACTGTACTCAACCCACAGCCTGTGGCAGCTGCAGAACCTCCTGGCCAGCATCTGCTTCCCGCAAGCCCAAGCTCGTGATGTGATGTCCTTTTTCTCCGCAGTGCTAGCTCACCAACTGCCCCATTGATCGCAATGGCACTCCCGTGCTGAAGTCTTTGACAGTTCTGCTTTAATTTTGCCAGACCCTGTCTCATCAGCACCACTATGATGGCTTGCCATGCTGCCTTCGGCCTTCAGCTTTGCCGCCTCTTTCAGAGGAGAATGGCGCTCCTATGCCAGCAGTCTGGCTAATGTGCCCACGCCTCCCAAACCAATGGAGCCAGCACCAGCCTGTATTAGGTCGCTACAGTATTTTCAATTTCCAGAAAAATATAATGTGATCACACATGACAATATTAACCTCTCCATTTTAACCTCTCCATTGTTAGTCTCTAGGAACTCATCCATTGTTGCAGTCATTTTCTTTAAATGTCCTGTTTTAAGTAGTAATGGATTGAAAAATACTAGAATAAGTAGTATCTATGGGATGTTGGAGTATCCAGATATCTACCATGTTTCTAGATTTTATCAGGGTGTTTTTTGACAGAGGAGGTGACTGGTTTCCTTTGAGGTAGTTTGTCCATATATGGATCCAACTAACAACTGGAATTGCTCCCTACATTTGTGAAACAAATACCTTTGTATCCAAAGTTGAAATTAACTGGGCCATGAAACACACTTCCATGTAGAAGAGGTGCATTGACTGTTCCTCCAGTCTGAGCTGTAAAGGTCTGGACGGGTTCATTCTGAAGTCTGATGGTCTGGACTTGACCAGTTTGATCTGTGTTCACATGAGGGCAGAAGAGTGGTACATTAACCAAAAAGGATGTGAAGAGGATACAAAGTCTAACTACATTTCAACTGTCAAATCTAAGAACTAAACCAATTTAAACCAAAGATCTTCTGTCAGCAAGCCTGCTTTAACATTACATCTATACCACTATCATAAGACCATCCAAGAACACTTTGTGGAGAACTTTAATATAGAGTTTGTCTATAAATACTATTCGTCTTTTCACATTTTAGGCAAATGCTCATTGGGTGACACTGAGCCTGGAAGTGGCTGCGTTATCAATGCCGTTTCAAACATGTCATGGACCTGTAAATCTTTTTATAATGTCCTTCTGGACTGCAGCAGTGGAAACATAACTTTAACCTCTTACAAATCATAATATACAAACATTAACACCTTAATGTGCACTTATTAATATGCCAAATTAAACTAGGTATTTTCTACTTTGTAAGTGCAAAAAAAGATTTTACTAGAGAGAAAGACTAGTTTTGACCAGGAAATAAGCAAAAGCTCAGAAAGAATGTAAGAGAAAATAAGTATATTACATTACCCCGTTGATCTGTTACATCCTGCAGCACTTCTGGATTGCTTGCCATCTTGTGTAGATGGAACTGAAAAAGGACAACACTCAAAGTTTAATGGACATTTACTGAAAACATTTAGTAGAAGCTCCTAAATATTTGATGTAGGAGAGTGCATGTGAGGCTGCATGCATATATCATTAATTATCTGTATGTATAAAAGTAATTATTTTATAAGAATGAATTGTTTAAAGGAATTATATGCTTAAGAAAATACTGTATATCAATCTATAGATAACTTTCCTCAAAATATTTACTTTATCTTTCAATGACACTGCAGTTCCTAAATGAAGGAAAAAAAATCTTAAATGTAGAACAAAATAGCAATGAAATGGTCAACATATCATTGCTGTCCAAAGACAAACATTTATCTCCAAAAAAAGTAATTTTACAGGAGAAGGCAAAAACTTTATCAAATTTCAATGTAAGTAATTTTTGGGGCATTTTAATTGGTCCATTCATCACAACATTTTCACACAATGTTAATGACAGGTCCTGTGGTTAAATGATGAAGAAAAATAAAAATTAATAAAAAAATGGGAATATATTTTTTGTAGACAATGTCGGTATGTGCTGTAGTTCACTAATGTATAACCTGCTGTACACTTCTGTACTGCAATAAGCCAATTAAAAAAAAAACCCTCATGACTTTGGACTAGAGTACTACAGCCATCCTTTTAACTATTACATATAATATTACAGAATAGTATGAATATTTGTAAAAATTGATGTTTATGCAGTTGTGCAAATAGGCATTATTGTACAGAAGTAATACATTGTAATACAGTAAGGAGGTTTGTTGGTTTCAGTTTAAGTGCATGGTGTCCCCTGTGGTTAAACAGTGCTATAACTCTGTTTTTAATTTCACTTTCTGCAAACACTGATGCAGTGTGATGTCATCCACATGACCTTTTCCAAGTGTACAGAACCAAGGCCTCAGCTCGTTCATTGCAGTGTGTGCAGACTTTAATTACATGTCTTTCTCCTTGCAGTCTTCAATCCATTAAAAACAGAGTGCAAGGATGTGCAAATCATTTATACCCAATATTCAATTAAAAATAGCACAAAGACAGCATATGAAATGTTGAAACTGAGAAACTTTAATGTTTTTCAAAAAATATATGCCATTTTAAATTTGGGAGAGGGATGTGTTTACAACTGTGTAGCTTTGCCACATCTTTTACCAACACTCTGTAAGCATTTGGGAACTTTGGAGACCAACTGTTGTAGCTTTGAAAGTAAAATGTTTTCCCATCACTGTTTGATATAGGATTTCAGCTGCTCAACAGTTCAAGGTTTCCTTTGTCATATTTTTGTTTCATAGTGCACCAAATGTTTCAATGGGTGATAGGTCCGGACTGCAGGCAGGGCAGTTTAGCACTTGTACTCTTACTACTGAACCATGCTGTAGTAATACGTACACAAGGTGCTTTAGCATTATCTTGCGGAAATAAGCAATATCTAGATGTCAGTAAATGTTGCTCCAAAACGGGTATATATCATTCAGCATGAATGATGCCTTCACAGATGTGCAAGTCTTCCATGCTTTGTGCACTAATGCACCCCAGTACCATCATGGATGCTGGCTTTTGAACTGGGCTCTGATAACAAACTGCATGGTCCTTCTCCTTTTTAGCCTTGAACTTTAAATTTTGATTCATCAAACCACAGGACACTTTTCCACTTTGCTTTGGCCCAGAGAAGGTGGCGGCATTTCTGGATCTTCTTTATATATGTTTTCTTCTTTGTATGTGAGAGTTTTAACTTGCATTTGTGGAAGCAGTGACAAGCTGTGCTCACAGACAATGGTTTTCAGAATGTTCCTGAGCGCATGCAGTGATTTCCACTACACAATCTTGTCTGTTTTTAAAGCAGTGCCACCTGAGGGCCTGAGGATCATGGCCAACCAATATTGGTTTTTGGCCTTGTTCCTTGAATCTGGAAATGTCTCCTGATGCTCTGAATCTTTTAAAACAGCGAGGCATTTCACATATCACACGCTCAGCAGGACTTACCCTGTGTTTCTAGAGTGACTATATGCAGGCTCAGCGAAGTAATACAGTTCAGAAAACCACCATTCTGATCTTGTCTTTACATCCATGTAAATACCTCATTTAAATTGCCACAGCAGCACATAGCTTCTTCTTGTGTCTCAAACCTATGATTGACTCAGACACTGAGTTTAGTGTCTGATAATCAGAAATGTACAGCCAAATGACAAAAGGCTGTGTCCCAAACCACTACACTAAGTGCACTCAAAGTCACACAAATGGCCCATAAATATGACAAATATAATTACAAAACTAATAATATTAGTCTCTGTTTTTTGGTGAGTATTGATTCTGGGTGTTAAAAATATCTGATATTAAATATGCAATTTAATTTGTAATTAAAAATAAAGCCTGTCTTGCTGTATATCACAGTTTTTTCGCACTCAGCATGAATCCAAGAGCACAGAAAATCAATAAAAAACATGGCTGCCTTATGCTAATTGTTTATTTTTACTCATTAATGACCAATAAAATGAATCACCATCAAGATTCTGGCACTTTCAGCTCACAAACACCCCAGATTAACAATTTTTTAAAAAGGTATCTAAAATGCTATTTGTTTTCAAGATCTCTAAAAGCAAAAATTTACTTAGGTAAATTTTTGATCAACAATTAGCCAAATTCATAAATATATCAAATTTCTCTTAGCATTTACATGTCAATTAAGGGCATATCTGTGTAGCCCACTGTTTCCTGAATAACAGCATATGGCATGTGTGACTGTCTCAAGTAAATACTTTATAATTGCAATTGTAATTGACCCTAGGGTTCTAAGGGTTAATATATATTAGCACACATTTTGGAATTAAACAATGTATTTCACAAAATGAAAATACAAGTAGATTATCTTTAAAACATTAAATCGAAATCAAAATTGTCTTTTTTTACCTTGTTAGTTTATGTTCCTGGCAACATTAAAATGATTCATCCTCTGATATGATATTATATTATTCAATATACATGGACTAGCCAATTCATTACGTTGTTTCTATACTCAGAACACCCCCACAGGACCACTACAGAGTAGGTATAGTCGAAAAGACTGTGAAAGACTGCATGGAGAAATATTGCAAAAATTCAAGAATAATATTTCTCAACATAAAATAGCAAAAAGCTTGGTGATTTCATGATCTACAGTACATAATATCATTAAAATTTTTAGAGAATCCAGAGAAATATCTGTATGCAAGGGACAAGGCCAAAAACCAATATTGGCTGGACATGATCTTCGGGCTCTCAAGTGACATTGCATTAAAAGCAGACAAGATTCTGTCGTGCAAATCACTGCATGGGCTCAGGAACACTTCTGAACATGACTGTCTGTGAACAGAGTTCATCACTGCATCCAGAAATGCAAGTTAAACTCTCCCATGCAAAGAAAAAAATAAAACAGGATCCAGAGATGCTGCTGCATTCTCTGGGCCGAAGCTCATTAAAGATGGACTGAGGCGAAGTGGAAAAGTGTCCTGAGGTCTGACAAATCAAAAATTGTGCATACTTCAAAAACCAGATTTTTTCAGAGAAGTTCTTGCTTATTTCAGCAAGACAATGTCATGCCAAATTCTGCATGTATTACAACAGCATAGCTCAGAAAATGGGAAAACATTTCACATTCAAAACTACAGCAACTGGTCTCTTCAGTTCCCAGATTCTTACAGAGTGTTGTTAAAAGAAGAGGTGATACAACACAGTGGTAAACATGCCTCTGTCCCAACCTTTTTTGAAACGTTGCTGGCATCAAATTCAAAATGGGCACATCTTTTTCAAAATAGCAATATATTTTCTCAGTTTCAATGTTTGATATGTTGTCTTTGTACTATTTTTAAAAATACTAAATATAATAAAAACTTGTCTTTAGAAATCTGGTCTGAACACTAAGTGATACAAGACTATGTGTGGAATATTAAAATATCTCAACTGAACCCCAGTTTTAAATGTCTTGCCTCAGTAAGATCATGTCTCCAGCAGGTTTAAGTTAAACTTTTGTTGATCCTCATATACAGTGACATCTAATGGCACATGTGTGATTTTTAAAATAATACAGAATTTGTGTTTAGTTTAAAATTTCTAAGAAATTGCAATTAAGTTTAAGAAGCCACATGACTTATCCAGGTTTAAACTCAAGTAAAACATTAAACTACAGCTAAACTAAGGGCAATGCACCTGAGCAATGAAAATAAAGAATAATCATAAGAAAAAAAATGGATTTTGTGATCTGACAAAGATGTACACAGAATTTTTACTGATGCACATCCCCATGTCTTGTTGTTATTTTTTAAATATATTTTTGTCACTTCACAGAAGTCTGTTACTGTGGTAACAGACTTTCTGCTTATTTTGGAGGCATATTTCTCTGTGTGATATTGATTAATCTGGCTTTATGAAGATCATTTTAGATATGTGTCCACATCAAAAATAGATGTTCTATATCACTAATCAAAAAGTAAAAGTAGTTTACTACATTAGAAAATGTACTGACTATTATAAAAAAAAGAACAAAAACAAAACAGAGACGCAGTGCCAGGTCAGAGATCTGCACTTGTAAAGACTAGAAGCAGGTAGTGAAAGTGAAAGTCAGTTTAATTATTATATTTACAGACACTTCAAATATAAACTAAGCACTCTTCTTAGTATGACAGTAACATTGCTTTCATGTGTAACGGAACTTTTCTCATCCCCATTAAGAGTGAAGCAGCTGATTTACTTATTTTTACACCACCAGACAGAGGTTAATGCGAACATGCTAACTTCCTTAGCAAGGTTCATGAGTGAGGACAGGTTAAAATAACCGTTTGTGTAAATGACAGAATAAAATAATTAACTTATCAATGTTAGATTTACTAATTGATGATGGTTTACTGATTAATTGAATTACTTCATCAATTACTTCATCAACAACCATCATTAGAATAAAGCTCTTAACCCCGCAGAGAGAGAGAGAAAGAGAGAGAGAGAGAGAGAGAGAGAGAGAGAGAGAGAGTACAATAACAATAATAAATCAGTATAAATGCTGCAGTCTGATCACATTACTGTGGAATGTTCCTGCTCTGTGTAGGATCTGTGTTAGCCTGTTTAAATTGTATAACATTGTATTACATAGAAGCTTCATTCAAGAGCCACACATTTAAGAAGAATGTAGAAGATTTTTGAACAATGTTTGTTTGGACAGCACACTGTGTGTCATGTAGATCCATTTAGAGATGGGAGTGAGGATCTTGCATACTTACCTTTTTTTTTTTTTTACATAAACAATAAATTGCAATTGTTTCACAATGAGATTTCTTTAGTGTGCTATTCTGAAGGAACCCATTCAGATCACTCTTAAATGCAGCGTTAGCTTAATCAGTGCATGACTACTGCAAACTCCACACTACGAAAAGCACACGTGGGTCTTTGTGATGCTCAAAATAGTCTCAAATTTAAGTACTGTTCTTTAATAGTTCTGTTATTGTTTTTAGTTGTTCTTCAGTTGCAGTAAAGCCATCCTGAAATCTGGATGTATTGCTGCCCCCTGAAACGTGTGTAGCAAAAGCAAGCAAAGCTGCAAAGAATAGAAACAATACAGTTGTACAGAGTAATGAGTAATAGTAATCATTTTAGTTGTACCCAGGATTAGGCAATATACATAATACATGAAAAAAAAAGTTATTGTACTCGATTTCAGTTGGAATAAGAGCAGTAATCAGATTACAGGAACATTACAATAAAATTACATAAATACCCCACATGTGCAAACTCTCTTATTTTTTGGAATGATAAATATGGCTCTCACCTGAGCAGTTTTTAATTTTGGGAATGGGGCAGCAGTTAATTATTTTGTTTGTTTTTTTGTAATTCTAGTAATGTAAATTTAGCAAAAGGTAATATTTTGGACCATTTGTGTTGGCCCTTTTTGTGCATTTGTACTCTCTCTCCCCCTATTTGTAATCAGTTCATATAGTTAAATGAAACTTTTGTGGCACAGAATGACTGATAATTTATAAGAAATAAAATCCAGTGAGAGTTAAAGTTGGTTTATTTCTGCCCATATGCTATCTTTTTGTTTTTGAACAATGGGCATAAAACTCAGTATCCACATAGCTTTTGTGTGAGATGAATACCTTAAAACTGTTAGGACACAGGACATTCCTGTGGACTGCAACTGAGCGCTAAGGAACTGCCTACACATTACATCACTGGGTTTCTGAATTTTTCTGTATGCATTTCAGAACTCAAAACTCTTTGTTTGGATGTTAGCATTTGGTCTTTTCACTAAATGTCATGTCAGTGACTGTCTTTTTGAAACACAATATCAGCTGTTTGTGTTCCCACATTCTCCATTGTGGTTCTACATCACACACTTAGTAATTGTTTTGTTTTTTGAATTCTAAACTGCATGTGATTTATTGATATCTGATTAATTCCACCTAAATATATTATAATAATAATAAACACATAAAGCAAAGAGAATTATTTGGTATACACTTTTAACATAACACAAACCCTGACTATAACTTGTAGCATAACTTTAGCATGTAATGTTATAACCACTGAAATATCTTAGTGTTTTCCTGTGTATTATTATATACATTACACTATTCCTAATTTAGATGTAGCTCATTGTCATGAATTTATTTCATGTTACCTGCTTTTACTGAGGCAGCAATACAATCATGATCATTACTTATATGTATATGAGTTGTTAAAAGTTGTCATTCTTGTCAACATCTTGACCCATAATCAGTTTACTTTTGACAAAAAATATACACCACACAGACTTTCTTTTTACACTGCGGAGTTTCCTGATGAGGCTGACAATGTTTAACTCAGTTTCACCTCAAAACCAAAATACAAACTTTAACCAGAACTACATAACCGAGGAAAGACAGAGTTCATACAGTGAACATTACATTCGAACATTTAAAAACAGGTATTAATTTCCTACCTTTACATTTCTGGACACTGTGCGATATTAAAGAAACTCCTTTCACCTCATGAATATTTCTGTCTGTTCTGCTGTTAAGAGTGCATGATGAAATCACAGTGGGTGTAGTTCACTGAATAGCGTCATTAAAACAGGTTCAGGGAACATTTTATAACACAATCTCATAGTTAATGAGTAACTATGCAGAGATTAAGCAGGGTCAAATGAATAGTGCTACACTGATGCTTAAGTAATTACTATTAACTACAGAGGAGTACTGGTTAATTACTCAGTAGTTAATAGTGAACTAATGATTAGGGTAGTTACTAAATATTACTATTTACTAAACAGTAACTATTGTGAAGACCGACACACATACTCTGAAGATCACAACATAGATTAACTTATGTTGTCTGCTATGCCAGTCATACATGTCAAACAGAATTTAATAATCACTGCTTTCTATTTTCCCTTACAGAAACGTAGTATGTCACTGTTGTCAGAAGAAAAACCTTGTATCTCCATTTTTGGCATTTTTCAGTTTTTGCCATACTTTGAAAATACTTGTTTCCCTTTACATTGTATATAAATTTCATGATAAATGGACTAAAAGAACTGACCCAAAATGACTTGGAAAAAAAAAAGTTACATTGACTGAGGTTTTTTCCTTCTCCTGTAAAGTTATCATTTTGGAGATATGAGGTTTTCTTCCAACAACAGCGTTATGTTTCACATGTGAAGCATGCAAAAACACATGTTTACAAGCAATCACATTATCATGTGGCCCTTCTGCGGTTATAGATATGTAATGGCGTATGTTACAAAAGTAGAACAGGTAACATTTGGCCCCCCACCTATGCTGAGTGGACCAGACATTAAAAGTGCCCAGTTGAGCCTAATTCTACTTATGTTCAATTACTTTAGGTGGATTAAGTGCTGTTCTAGCCTTGTCATTGCCATTCTCTCTCTCAGTACTTTGTCTGATGACTACACTGTGTTAGAGAGATCAGGGATATGTATGTGTATGTGAACAGCAATTAAGAAGAAGAAGCCTAATATATTATTCGTATTAATGATATTACAACCTGTTTGAGTGTTAAAGACAGTATGTGGGTAGCGAGGAGTGGTAGGAGGCGTCAGTCAGATATTTCACTACTCTTGGTTAACTAACTCAGCTTAATAGACTTGAGCAATACTGTGTAAGCATATGCATCTGTTTTAATTGTTTACTAAATTCTAGATAGATCAGTTATTATTTTCATTCTGATACTTGCATCTCTCTCTGTATTTATTACCCTTTAATAAGAGAAAGAAGCTTGTGGATTAAAAATATATTGAAATAAATACAGAGACATTCAAGGGCATTTAATCATACTCCAGTTTCAATTGGTGAGCTTGATGAACAATTTTATTTATGACATTAATAAATATGTCAGTTACAACACTGTTTGTATGATTATGTATGATGATTGTCACTATTTCTGATACCACATACAGTAGGTGACAGCATGTTTATTTAAATATAATTGCAGCAATTTTAAGAGTTCAGGGTAAAAATATTTACACATTAAACAACTGGCCAGACAGTCCACATACACTCCTACTCTCTTAGAGGGATGTTGAAATCCAAGACAAACCTGGCCAAAAACCAAAAGAACGTTTTTGGTTGCAATTTATTTATTATTTTGACTAAATATACTAAATCTAAAAACTACAAAGTAATAAAAATGTACTTTAATTATTGATAGATTTTGTTTACAACAACAAAACTGAGTTGACAATAAATTAAAAGAGTTTTTAGAAAATCTGGCCCACATCCCTCATTTTCATGTGGCCCACTTGCCACATGGATTGACTGCACTTAGGTGGACTGCTCCTGGTTACAATATGCGTACCATGTATGCACCAGACTAGGACCATATGTCAGCCAAAAATTAAACACACAACTGGCCCTAATCTGGACCTCAAATTAAGCACAAGAAGCCCAGATTTGTAAGCAATCCAGACTGGATTTGTTCCAGAGTTGGCTGCTATGTGCCTTTAGTTTATATACATAAACTAGTCAATGACAATATACCAGCAGCTTTCATATTTCTCATTATGATCAGCCTTCACATTTAAAATTACATTAAAGGATTTCTTTAAAATGTATTTAGCAATAGTGATCATTTTAAATTAGTGGCAGGTTTTCCTTCATTTTCAACCTAAATCTAACAAAACAATAATGAAAAATAATAGGACACTTATTTTTTAACAAATGCGGTTTCTTAAAGTAAATGAAACAAACATTTTTGCAGAAAAATATTCAATTAAAAATAATAATAAAACAAGACATCAAACCAACAAGACTGCTAAGAAAACACTAATGACATTCCAGCATATGCAATGTAAATTTTCTTTCTGACTACCTTTACCTCCATGTATATTTTTGCCATACTGGTGGTGTATGCTTACTTTCTTATAGATCACTGCTTAACTTTTTTTCCCCATGCAAAATTTGTTTTAGTCATCCTAGTGGCCATTCTAAAAAAAAAACCTATCTACATTACCATGTCTAATACAATCGCAAAAACATCACACACACTACCATGTCCTCTAAAAATGTCAGGAGTACCAATCAAGTATTTTTGATGAGTTTGCTGGAGGCTATGTGCAGAGTTTTCTCTACTGGTATGTGCAGTTTTCTCTTTTAGTTTCAATGTGGACATTCTCAGGGGAGTAACTAGGATCAGAATTTTAATGGGGCCCATTTTACACAAATGTGACCTACATGTCACAGTGAATAAAATAACCACCAAATATAAGTATTAAACTAATTGTAAGTTTCTCCTTTTTTCACCCAGCCATATCTGTTAGACACCTTTTCCTTTTATTTGTTCCATCCTCATCCCTCCATTCTTCCATTAACTACTATTATTGTTCTACAGACAAATTTGATTCCAGTTGCCCTGTACGTATAATTTAATCATTTATTCATGTTTGCTTTTATCTGAAAATACATGTTGAAACCTACACTAAATCAAGTGATAATTTCAAATAGATTTTATTTCATTTACCTCTCTCTCTCTGCTTGTTTCTTTTGCATCTCTGTCCTCATTAACTACTGAAAAAGCACACATTAAACATATGCTAGAAAAGGCTGTTTGTACCAAACCCCAGCAAAAGGGAAAGGTAGCTAATCATACAATTAATGAGACAAAGTACAATGTACCTGATGATTTCTTAATAATGTTAGCTACATGACACTATACCATCCATATGCTAGTTAACAGTGGATTTTCTCATGCTAGTTGTAGTATTTTATGTGAAGTGACAAAATACAACTTAAATTCCTCATCTAATTGCTTATATTGCCAACTATGGATCCTGTAGCCTAAACTGGACAGCTACTGGAACTAAAGCATGCTGATGTATCTAGCAATGTTGTGAGTGCTCCAAAAAAAGCAAATTATGCTTATAAACTTTTACATTTTACCATAGCAATATGTTCTAAGTCTACAGCATGCGTGCTGCATACAAACATCTTAAAAAGTCAAAAGTCAAGGGTACTCTGGTACTCAGTGTGGCAGTGTGGTGTCTCGTACAGAGATAAACAAAGCGAACAGTTATGTCAAGGGCCAAACCACAGCTATTCTGAGGTCAGCTGAGAACCAGTAACTGCTCATTTAGTTGTTTTAGGTTTTATCCCTTTTTTGATATTAAATCTCAAACACTCATAAAACATCCGTGGACCTCAGTGTCCTAATGCTAGTCACAAATATGATGGGCAGTGAAAATGTATTGAAGCAATTGTGCATAGCAGCAGTTGCTAAGCACTGATTGTGCTGTTTTCAAAAATAAAAATGCACTCTCGATAGGTTTAATGTTAGCTGCTTTCCATTCGCTAGTTTCTTGAAAATGAGTTCAGCAGGGTGATGTATGTATCTGATTAAATTTGCTGTTAGGGTGGCCAGGGCTCAGTCATGCAGTCATTGCTTAGGTTGTAGATCAGGTTGTCCATTAATCACAGGGCTACAGTTCAGTCCTCATGTTGGAGGTTGATGTCAACCTGATTTTTATTTTAAACTAAAATTCAATGTCTGTCTGACGTTAGAGTGCAATGTCTTTCTGATGTCAAACACACACACACACACACAGAGAGAGAAGGTTATTCTATCTCTCTCACACACACACTGAAGAGTCATAATAAAGTGTAAATCCTGCACAGAGCAGTTCAGTGAATGTGGTGTAGACTGTGTGTAGGTGTGTCAGTGTGTGTGTATCAGAGGAGACACTGTAGAAGGACAGATTGCCGGCCGGACAATCCACATACACTCCTACTCTCTTAGAGCTGGAGGGACGTACAGAGAGATCAGTTCTGTTATTATTGTGACAGACAGAGTAACTGTTATCACAGCAGATGAGACTCCAACACTTTTCATTCAGTCCAAATCTGCAATCAGCACTGCGTCCTTTCCTGCTGATTGATTTATAGGTCACAGCTATTTCAGCCCAACACCCGCTCCACTCAGCCTCCCAGTAACAACGTCCAGTCAGACTCTCTCTACACAGAACCTGCTTATAGTAATTAAATCTTTTTGGATGATCAGGATATGGCTGCTTCTCCCACACAAACTCTACCTTTCTGTTCCCGTTAGACAGAGAGAGACGTGTGTGTGCTGTATTTGGGTCCAGAGTGAGCTCACAGGAATCTGCACACAGGAAGAGATATTAACACAAATATACATATATATATATATATATATATATATATATATATATATATATATAGAGAGAGAGAGAGAGAGAGAGAGAGTGTGTGTGTGTGTGTGTGTGTGTGTGTGTGTACTTACATTTCTTCAGTCCTGGTTTGATTCTGATCTCACCTCCATGTTCCACCCTAAACACACACACATGCTTTAATATGTTCATTCAAATGTTCTCACCTTCCTCTCTCTTTCTCTCTCTCTCTCAAATTAATTAATTTTAAGGAGGCTTTATTGGCATGACCATATCACATAAGTATTGCCAAGGAGTGTAACATACGTTTATGTCTATTAAGCAATCACACACAAACGCACACAGTTCATGCACATACAGTTCACAAAATATATTTCATACATGTAGTTCTACATATATTAACAATATTATATTTTATATACATGAAATATTACATACATTTAATTTCACTACATTTCACTGAAGCGTCCATCTTTACCATGCCAACCCATTCTTTTTCAGGCTCCTCTACATATCTGTCAGTCAGAACAGTGTTTAGGCCCTCTCCTGATAACACTTTAAGTTCCTTTGATTTCACTGAATTCAGGGATTTTGGTACTGAATTTACTGAAGTACTTCTTACTGGAGTAACTCTGATATGTTTGTATTTTTGACAGTAAAGAAGGACATGTTTCTCCATCTCCCCTCCCCTGACTCACAGTGACCACACCGCTTCTCTTCTCTGGGCAGACAGGTTTTCCTGTGTCTGCCCCACTCTGTGGTAGATTGTGGTCACTTAGCCCCTATTTGTTCAGATGTGCCTCTGTTGAGTGTCTCTGGCAGAGACGAAATATGTGACCAATATGTAATTCTCTCTTATGGTTTGATAGCAGATTAATTTTTTTTTGTTTTATGTCATCCCAGTACTCCAGATAAGAATTTTGGGTTTGATTCATTAATTGTTGAAATTGAAATTGTTTGGCAGATGTGGTCTGAGCTCCAAGGCTGTTAGATGGTAGCTGATGTGTGAGCTCTAAGGGTTCAGCTTTTGCACTGTTTTATTTGTTTAAATTTTTTTATGTAGTTATGCTGTCTCTCTTTCTGTATCTCTTCTCTCTGTCTGTCTCTCTTTTTCTCTCTCTCTCTTCCTCTCTGTCTCTTTCTCTCTGTCTCTCTCTCTCTCTTGGTCTTTCTTTCTGTCTCTCTTTCTGTATGTCTCTCTGTCTATGTGGATGACTTGACTGTCTCTACTGTATTAAAAGGGAGGTTATAGTTTCTACTTATTTAATCTAAAGAAGATTCTTATTTTATCAATATCTGTTTTCATATTATTGCATATTGTGGCAAGGGGCACTCAGCGAAGCAGCAGCAGGCATGCTAGGAAAAACCTCATGGGAGGCACATGCCTCAGTTAAAAGATGTACTGTTCATGTTGCTTATGTTGATGCTGGTTAGTTGAAGTTATGTCTATGTGTTTATTGCGATGTTCTGTGTCAGGGGTGTGGGTGTTTGTGTGTGTGGGGGGCACTGCTGACATAAAATCTATGTGGTGTGTGGTTGGTGGTGACCTCCCCCCATGGGTTCTGTGTTATGTATGTGCCTTTCTGCTTGCTGGGTTTAATAAAAGGGCTGTTCTCAGAACAGAGTATGGCTTCATTCTATTCTTAATTTGACCATTTGAGTGCAGTATGTCCTAATGCACTAGTATGTACTAGTGTGACTTTTGGCAAAGACCCCATCCACAATGTGGGCACAACAGAGGCCTATTATCCAAAATTCATTGAAATATAAGAGAAGGTCAATCAGTATGCATGGTTGTTTACAGTTGTCTGGCCATCATAGAGAGAAAAATGTATATAATGAATAAAGTTGCCAATGTGCTGCACTACATTTGTATTCTGAAGTCACTGTCCAAATTAGCTCATTTAAAAAAAGTAGAACAACTGACATGCCGGATCCAGCACATGGATAACCTGTACGATGTAGTGGTCACAGTAACTGAATTTACTTGCTTTTGCATTTGTTAAAAGGGAGTAAATTTGACCTCAATGTCATTTCTGAACCACAACTTCAACCCTGTAATGAGTGATCTTGCATCAGCAGTGATAATTACCCACAAACACACATGATAACTTCAACAAAGGGCTCTCGTGGTGGTTACAGAGTGAGACTTGAAGATCACCTGTTCAGAGGGCTTTGTCATGCTGTTTCCACATGGCTCTATTGCTTCTGAGGACCAGACTGTAAGCCACACAATGCTCTAGGACAACGTATCCAAAGATACTCAGGGTTTGAGACTGCATGACTCTCCCTAAATTTTCTTGCTATGGACACAAAATAACATTCTCCTGTCTTTCTCTCAGCATAGCACTGAGCAGGTTTACAACAAGCATAAAACACGTGAAACAAACAGAAAACTTAGATTCACAGATCTGAAAATAAATGTTTGAACTTTCCTCAAATTCTAGTCTAAAATGGTTTCCTTCTTGAGCTTTCTTCTTTGACTTCCTTTCTCAGAATTCAGTTTCTTCCAATTGGACTATGACTGTGGACCACGGTGGGTGGCGCTGTCGCCTCACAGCAAGAAGGGCCTGGGTTCGATTCCCCGGCCCGGCGACCAGGGTCCTTTCTGTGTGGAGTTTGCATGTTCTCCCCGTGTCTGCATGGGTTTCCTCCGGGTACTCTGGTTTTCTCCCACAGTCCAAAGACATGCAGTCAGGCCAATTGGACATGGTAAATTGGCCCTAGGTGTAAGTGTGCGAGTGAATGTGTATGTCTGTCAGTCTGCCCTGTGATGGACTGGCGACCTGTCCAGGGTACATCCTGCCTTCCGCCCAATGACTGCTGGGATAGGCTCCAGCTCCCCCCGTGACCCAGAAGGAGAAGCGGCTTAGATGGTGTGTGTGTGTGTGTGTGTGGACTATGACTAAGTTCCCTGCGAGATACTCTTCCTCAATCCACTCCTTTGGGCAGAGCCAGAGCATGGATACCTGTTGTTGACAGGTTCTAGCTCATCCTTTCTAACCTAGAAGGTTGATAAAAGGCTGCCACGTGGCTCCCATTAACAGTCATAACATCTTAGTACCATGTCACTTTAATCTTTTGATGGCCTAGCCAAGACAGACTACTTGACATCAAAGTGAGTGCTTATCCTAACATTATGGCAGTTAATTCTGTGTGATGTGTACCAGATCCAGTTCTGGAATGTAGGATCTTTGGGAGGGGAAGTATAAACGGTCCTGTGTCCACTATGAGTCTATTCCAAATGCATGCAATTAAACCAAACACCCCTAAGGACTGCCCTAAAGATCTGCACATTTTACACCACCAAAGAATGCAATTTGAGGTGAAGCACAGGGCTTAGGGTACAATTTGTGACAGAGAGAGATACAAAGAGAAACAGATCTTCATTTATTTAATTTGCAGTCAATTATAAGCTATTTCTTTTTAGGAAAATGTTTCTGAGGAAAATTAGATATAAACTAAGATATATAACATTAGATATAATGAGTTCAAAATATGATTAAAACAAATAGAGAAAATGGGAAAAAACTGCAAGACCTTGTAGACCACCAAAACTGTCCCCATCAGATAAACAACACTTAACGCTTTATCTTCAAGAGAGAAGAGAAAATCAAGGTCCACTCTTGCTATGGGTTTGAACGGATGTCTGGGACGCTCATGGGAGGCAAATGTCCTCTGAAGAAGGGACTGTTTGTGTTATTTATGTTGTTATTCTTTAATTTAAAGTATATGTTATATGTTTAACGTGTGTTGCTGTGTCTTGGGGGTGGGTGTTTTGTGTTCAGTGGTTGGTCCCATGGGCTGTTATATTACTCTGATTTACCAAAGCAATGTTTTTTTGTTTTTTTTTTTTAACTTGGACTGGTCACTGGATTCTCTCTGCATGTCCCCTTTGGTTTGGTGAATGTGCTCTCTGGTTTTGACCCTGGCCTGTTTTGACTATGCTCTTTGTGAAACTCCTAAGCTCTCAAGTAAAATACAACCTTGTCTTTTAATCTGCAAGCATCTGATCTGTTTTGACCACCTGACAGTTACACTATCACTTCATATCTAAAAATAATATGCTGGAGAGCTTTGTCAGACATACAGAAGACGCAGATGATTACATTACTCAGTACAAATATTTCTGATTCTGAGACACACATATACCTCTGAACAGCTGTTCATACCTGAGTGTGTTGAGTGAGCAGTGTGGATCCTCCAGTCTAGCAGTAAGCAGTTTCACTCCTGACTGTCCTGGGTGGTTGTAGGTCAGATCCAGTTCTTTCAGGTTTGAGGGGGTTGTTCTCAGAGCTGAAGCCAGGAAAGCACAGCCTTTCTCTGTGATCATACAACCAGATAATCTACAGAGTGATGAGAAAGAGGAAAACAGACAGAGACAGACTGCTGGTACTGAGTGATACATGTCAGTATTAAAATGAACTTTGTAGAAACATGCTAAAAATTGGCAATTAAACTTAGCTAATTATTAACATTCAAAAAATCTAAAATTAAAAAGAATCACTGAGATCATTTCAAACTCTTTTAAAGATCATAGTGTAAAAAGCACCCAGAGTTTCCACATTTTGTATAGAAAATCATATAAAGGAGAATGTTTTTGCTTTGACACTTGTACGTCTTGTTATCTTTTTGCCTGCTCTCCCTTTTATTTTAAGTCCAGCCCATTTAATTAACACTTAGAACCCAATTAATGTATTCAGCAGATATTTCCTAATTGATTTTCTCAGCTTCAGAACTCAGGAACAGCTTAACATATTTATATGATATAGCATGGATGTGTGTCATGGTATCAGTGAGTAGTACTGTTATGGAAAAATACACAAAACACAGTCTTCCACAGTGTTAAATTTGGTCCACAATGTTTATCTTGTGCTTCTGAGTGAGTTTAGAGTAGGAGTGCAACGATTATGCGACTTAGTCAACTAAAATTGACGACCGAATTAGTTGGCAACTAATTTAGTAGTCGATTAGTTGGTGACGTCATTACGCATCTTTCACGCGCTCACTAGGAATGTTTTGCATTAACCACTTACTCGCGAGTTAACAATAGCGCAATGGCTGCCTAAAAAAATCTTCATAAGTGTAGACTCTGGAAAAAATGTCAGTTGTGCTATTTGTAAGCCGACCTTAGCTGGCATGGGAGCACATCCTCCATGCTGGAACTTCTGAAGAGGAAACTTGTGAGTCCACTGAATAAAAAAGACTCTCAGTAAGATACGCCGCATCCCAAACCGCATACAAGCTCTCTAAATAGTGCACTCATTAGTGTAGTATGTGAAGTACAGTAGTGTGTGGTTTGGGACGCGGCGATAGTTGTGCTAGTTGTGCAGAACATTTCATGTTCTGAGCTGAGCTGTAACATCTATTTCGAAGTGCATGTTCTCTGGTATCGTTAAGAGAGCTGAAACAGAGAAGCAAGTAACTTTTATTCACAGGGACCCTGTTCACTTTGCAGATAACATTTACAGTTTTAAACATTGCAGCGTTGCCTTCACGTTGAGGCTGCCGGTGTGTTCAAATTCGTCAAACACAGGAGAGTGTTTACAAACAGGTTTTTCTTCTCAGTGCACGTTTAGCACCACATACTCACAGTTTAAGGAGGTAGCTCTACATGAACATATAGGGCAGCTGGACGAAGGGTTACCGCTGAAATGAAATGTTTCAAAATCGTTCAAATTTAACTGTTCAAACAGAACAAGTATGCCACAAACATTCGTCACTTTCCCATCTGCTCCGTCAGAGCGCATATCCTCTGCAGCAGGGAGTATCCGCTGTTAAAATGAGAGCGAGACTCTCACAGGAGCACAGAGAGATGCTGACTTTACTCCATTTCACTAAAGATATGTTATTGTAGAATTTAGTTGCACTAAAGTGTAGACAGACAGCAGAGCACAGAGCGCAGACTGCACTGTTTTTAAAATTAGTTTTAAATTTAGATTGATTTGTTTATTTACGTGATTAAAGGAAAACTGAATTAGTTTTGTTATATTTTATTGCTGCTACTTTGCACATCCGTGGTTTTAAATTTTGACAGGAAAAAGATACTGGAGTTTTATTCTTTTATCTTTTGTATTAGCAATAATAACAACAGTAAATTTTTGAATAAGTTATTAATTTTTATTGTCTTCATTGTTAATTAGCAAATGCATAAAACAACCTCAAGTGAAATTTACAAGCTAATAGCTACATAATTCATTTTTTATTGTAATGATTTACAATCCGAATAATCAATTATTCGTTTCAGTAATCGATAGATTATTCGACTATCAAATTAGTCTTTTGTTGCAGCCCTAGTTTAGAGTATCAACATCACAATTCATCAAGTCAAAGATAAAAAACATCAAATTTTGATAATTGCAGAGAACATTATTAAAAATAATGAATAAACAGTGACTGTGCATTGAAATGTACTATGTAGAGGATGTGTACTTATTTTCACTTAGAAAATCAATAAAACATAATTTGACCAGTGGCACCTAAATTACAAGTAGATATATAAAACAAAGGAGATGTGTATGTGCACTGGTAGTTTGAGATTGTAAATACAATGGCTATATTTGTTTTGGGTACATTGTGACTGATGGTTTTTTTCACCACTGCTGTAAAGATTAAAGTTTGGCAAAATTTATAACTTCACATCAATCCTCTGTCAATGACTTTGTTTATATTTCAATAATATATTTTGAAAAACTGCAAAGTGGAATTCACCCTGATTAGAAATTTTATCTTAATATGTATTGCTTGTTAAACAATGAATATCAGGGTGTAATATTACATTCCAATATTAGCTAACGGTGTTAACTAACCTGAGTATCTCCAGTTTACAGTGTGAATTCTTCAGTCCAGCAGAGAGGACCTCCACTCCTGAATCCTGCAGATCATTGTTACTGATATCCAGCTCTTTCAGGGAGGAGGACTCCAGTTTTAAAACTGATTCCAGGTGATTACAAGTCTTTTTTCCAAGATTACACAAAGCTAGTCTGCAAAGAAAGAGTTGATGTAATAGATCTTACAATACAAGCAAAACATTTGTAAAAATGTTTTAAATGTCTCAACCAAGATTTCACATATTTTACATGACTGGGGCAGTTAGAGTATAATATAATATCATTCTGTTTTCACAAGAAATAAAGGGGAAAAACCTAGGTAATAAAATGAGTATCTTGAGTTTATAGTTACTTTACAGATTTATTACCATTCAGAAAGCTGACCTGAGTATCTCCAGATTACATTGTGAACTTTTCAGTCCAGCAGAGAGAAGCTCCACTCCTGAATCCTCCAGGTCATTGTTACTGAGGTCAAGTTCTTTCAGAGAGGAGTTTTCCAGATTTAAAACTGATACCAGATCTTCACAGGTCTTTACCCCAAGGTTACATGAAGCTAATCTACAAAGGGAGAAAGCATACACAGAGATGCTTAAAGGGAAAAAGAAAAAAAACTTGTGGCACAGCATAATGACTTAGCTAAATAAGGTCTGATTATCTGTGCAGTGGCTTTTTAGGCCTGCACTAGAGTATAACTAAGTAACCCAGCATACTAGAATTGGATGTGACCACATACACAGATAACAGCATTATTAAAGAGCAACAACAAATACACACAAAACAGCTAGAAACAAACTGTGTGACATACAGTGACAGTATAAAAAACTCCATGTGTGTAGGACACAGACACAAAGCCTTTTCATACTGGTAAAAAAAATACAGCGTGCGTAAATATCAAGAATGAAAGAAAGTGATGCACATCTGAGAGACAAACTGTCAAAGTGAAGATAAGATGGAAAAGCAACAGAGCTGTGCTGTTCCAACAAAGTTGGGACACTGTAAAATGTAAACAAAAACTATGCAATGACAAGCAAATCATTTAAACCATATATTTAAATTAAAAGAGTACAAAGAAACGACATCAAATGTAGCAACTGAGAAATTGTGTTGTTTTCTGAAACATATATCCCCATTTTGAACTGGAGACCAACAACATTTTTTTTTTTTTCTCAGCCTTGGAGCATACATGCAGATTGCTCAATTCATGGCTATAGTTTGAAAGATACACTTGATAAAATTTCATTATACACCAGAGGTGTCTTCCTAACCTCAATCCTCAGGATGAAGCCTGCCCCTGACCTTGTAACAAGACAGCAGCACTGACATATTAAAGCAATATGTGAGAGCCCATGTGATTTTACTGTGTTAAAGGCTAATACTAGGTATGCATGTATGCTGAATGAAGGTGGAGCTCAGTGATGATCACAGTGAAACACAAAAATTACTGCAGCAGTCATGCTGGGTCATTTTGTGCAGTGCTCTTTAGCCAGTCATTTCATTTGTACATTTTGTACTAGTTTTAAAGGATGTTTTGTTTTCTTAGGAAGTCCAGTAAGAAGAGCACGACAGTGATCAACTCTGCTTGTAACAAATGCATGAACAAGTTTCTCTACGTCGCTCTGAGATAGAAAAGGCTGGAGCGATATTTCTCAAATGATAAAAAGCTACTTTAGTGAATGTGTTTACATGCAGGATAAAACAGAGCTCAGAGTCTAAGATCACACTCGGGTTTCATACATCAGGTTTGGTATATGAAGCTAAAAGACCATGTTTCTCATAAAGGATTTCTTTGTGAGTGTCTGTACCAAGGATCAGTATTTCAGTTTTTTCATGATTTAATTGTAGAAGATTTTGCGACAACCACTGAGAAATATCTGACACACAGCTGGTTAGTCTGTCTACAGAGTCTTGATCTTCAGAAGGAATAGAAATGTATAACTGGGTGTCATCAGGTGGTGTCATCAATGTTTGATATTAGATACGCATTTAGTTGTTTAAAAACAACCTTTTCTAAGACTTTACTTAAAAAAGGTAGATTCTAAATTGGTCTAAAATTATTTAGTATCCATGCTACACTTTTTTAGCAGTGGCTTCACCAAGGCAGTTTTAAAAGTGTCTGGAAAAATATTTGCAATTTACAATAGTTAAAACATAATTGTGAACACAATCAAAAACTATCTTAAGGAATGAAGTAGGAACAGGGTCAAGATTGCATGTGGACAAGTTTCGTTTGTTTACAACAGTTGTAACAGAAAAAGATGTCATTACTGATGTAGTTGGCTCATCAGGAAAATAATAGGAGCTTGTTTCAGTCAGCTGAGTTATACCCTGTCTATTTTATTTTGAAAATGATTGCAAACTCTTCGCAAATTTTAGAAGATAAATCACCATGAGACGCACTAGCAGAAAAGCTGGGGTTAATTAGTCAGTCTATGTTGGAAAAAGGATTTTAGTATTGTCTTTGTGTCTATGAATTATACCAGAGAGGTATGACTGTCTGGATATTTTCATAGCATTATTATGGATTGAGATCTGCTCTTTGAGAAAATCATAACCTGGAGTTTAGTTTTCCTCCATAAGCAATCTGATTTACAACAAGTTCTCTAAAGCTGGTGTGTTTCTGCAATTATCCATGAATTTTTAGGAGTATATGAGTTTTATCCATTTGACTGGCGTGAAAATGTCAAGGGTTTCATATAATCTAGCACTTAGATCAGAGACTAGATCATTACAGGATTGAGTCAGATCTGTATTCGCTGAACTATCTTAAATGCTTTTAAACTTCTCAACAATTAAGCAATGAACTAAGGACAAACTAAACTATCTCTCAACAATGTAGTCAATTACTATGCTAAATAATAAATAGTGCTTAATGAACACTATTAATATATAAATAATGAGGAGTTAATAGCTTATTACCAACATAATCAATCTTTATGTTGTGACCCTTAAGTGAAATGTTACCCATAAGTCTCTATGTACTTGCAAAGTATGTACAGAAATGTACCAATAATTACAACACAAATGTTTGAAATAATGAAATGGAAATTTTACATACAAAGCACATCCTGTGTGTTTCACCACTTGCAAGAGTCTGTTCAGTCCTTCCTCTGATGGCCTGTATTTCTTCAGCTCAAACTTCTCTCGGGTCTCCTCTGACATCAGCAGCACAAACACCAAAGCTGACCACTGTGTAGATGCGAGTTTCTGTGTTGAGAGATTTCCTGAGTTCAGGTATTCCTGTATTTCAGTTGTCAGGGAATTGTCTTTCAGTTCACTCAGGCAGTGGAAGAGATTGATTCTTCTGTCAGATGATATTTCCTCATGCAGTTTCTTCTTGATATAGTCAGCTGTGTCCCTAACACTCTCTGCTTTGATCTTCAGATTTGGCAGAAGTTCACTTAGGACATGCCGAGTATCCCCCAGTGAGAGGCCGAGGAGGAAACGGAGGAAAAGGTCGAGGTGTCCTTTTTCACTCTGCAAAGCTCTTTTTACTGCACTCTTATGGAGATCTGTTATTCTGTTATTCTTCCATTTAAGCTTGTTCAAGAATGTCTCCTGTTTGAATGCATTCCTTTTCTTGTTGCAGTGTGAGTGATGCACATATAAAGCTGCAAGGCTTTCCTGAACACTAAGATGTACAAAGCTGAAAACATTCCTCTCAGAAACTCCTCCCTGCTGACTGAAAATCTGTGTGCACACTCCTGAGAACACAGTGCCATCACTGACATCAATGCCACATTTCTTGAGATCATCTTCATAGAAATTCAGAGTACCACTCTCAAGATTACAGAAGGCCAGTTTACCCAGCTTCAGAATGATGTGCTCTGCATCAACAGTTGTGGTTTTCTTACTGTATTTCTTTTTCATTAAGTTTTTCTGCTGGAGTAGGAAGCTTATGTACATTCCTGTCAGAGTTGCAGGGATTTCCTTATTGCTGTCTTGAACCATCAGAGGCTGAAGCACAGTGGCAGAGATCCAGCAGAACACTGGGATTTGACACATGATGTAGAGACTCCTTGATTTCTTTATATGTGAAACAATTTTCATTGCCATATCCTTATTACAGTATTTGCTGAAGTATGTCTGCTTTTGTTCATCATTGAATCCTCGTACTTCTGTCACCAGATTGATGTAGTCCCGGGGAATCAGACAGGCTGCTGCTGGTCGGCAAGTTATCCAGACGAGAGCAAATGGAAGCAGATTTCTATTGATAAGATTAGTGACCAGTGATCCTACTGAGGTCTTCTCATTGACATCTTTGACTTCCTCCCCGTCCTCAAAGCAAAGAGGAAAGCAGCATTCATCTAGGCCATCAAAAATAAATAAAATTTTACCATTATCCTCCGGAAGACATTTCAATTCAGTTTTTGAAGAAAAAAAACAATGATTCAGTAGTTCAATCAGACTGAACTTCTTCTCTTTCTTCTGATTCAGTTCACGGAAAGAAAGAGGAAAAATGAAGGTTATGTCCTGGTTCTCCTCTCCCTTCGACCAGTCAAGTATGAATTTGTTGACTGACACAGTTTTACCCACACCAGCAATTCCCATTGTCAACACTTTTCTGTTCCGTCTACTGGTACCAGGCTGGACCTTGAAAAGGTCACTGCATTTAACACAAACTTCCTTACTAGCAAGTCTGTTGCATAATATGTCCATTTGCATCACTTCATGCACTTGAATGACTCCTCCACTTTCATTCTGCACTATAATGAGATCAGTGTAGATATCCTCCAAGAACTTTGTGTGGCCTGTATGTGAATTCCCAATTAGTATACTTTCATATAGCTGCCCGAGGGTGGACTTCAACTGGGTGCATTTCTTTTGATCTTCTGTCAGAGAAGGATAAGACACAAAGATTTGGTATAAAGCATTTTATCAAAGACAAGAGCAAATAGTCAGTGGTGTTTATCACCATCCCTTTAGAGGGCAATTCCAGTGATTTTTTACTACACTATAAAAGCTCTCTAGCAGAAAGCTATTACATGACAGTTATGAATTTGCTGCCTGATGCCTGGGATTTTGTTTTCCGATAGTTTTGAAAAAGGCTTAGACTAAGATATACAAACCCTGTTCAAAAAAGTTGGGACAGTGTGTAAAATGCAAGTAAAAACAGAAAGCAGACATTACTAAATTCAGTTTCACTTAAAATTGGAAAAAATACCTTATGAATTTAACTCTTTTGTAAATGTATGTCTATTTTAAATTTAATGCCTATAACACATTCCAAAAAAGTTGGGACTGCATGTTTACCACTGTGTTACATCATCTTTCCTTGTAATAGCACTTAGTAATCATTTGGGTACTAAACTGATCTAGTTTTGAAAGCAGATTTTTTTCCTCTGTTAGCAAAGCTGTGCAACTGTGTCATTTATCATTGTGTTTTGCACAGGTTTTCAATGGGGGATAAGTCTGGACTGCATGCTGATTATGCAGCCATGCTTTTTTTTTTAACAAATGCAGAATGTGGGTTGGCATTGTCTTGTTGAAATAAGCATGGTTGTCCCTGAAAACTATGTCATGTAGAAGGCAGAATATGTTTCTCAATATTCAGTGTTAATGGTGCCTTCACAAAAGTGCAAGTTATCCATTTGTTTGACAGCATGGATCATGGGCATTCAGTTAAGGTTTTCAGCCTTGCCCAGATTCCCTGAATCTTTTGATGATATATGATATATATGTACTGTAGAGGATGAAGTACCTAAAATCCTTGCCGTACTTGCTGAGAAATGTTATTTTTAAACTGATTTGCTGATGCATTTTGGCAAACTGATAAGCCTTAACCCATTCATGCTCATAAAGGACTATGAGTTTTCTAGATGCTCATTTTATACCTAAGGATAATTGTAATACCTGTGAACATGTTTTTTGAATTTCATAATGTTCCTTGTCTTAAATTGCCCTGTGCCAATTTTTTGAACAGTGGCAACAGTATCAGAATAAACATATGTTTGCAAAAAGTTGATAAGATAAAAGATATTATGTAGATTATATATCTTGTCTTTGTGCTGCTTTTGTCCAATGATTTACCTTCTATCTCCATGCTCAAAAAATATCCTTAGTTGGATTGATGAGTGGGCAGTAGAGTGGGAAGAACTCAACCAGAAACTTTTTCCTGTTTTGACTGTGTTGTGAAAGCTAAGAGCATCCTAAACTACAATATAATGTGATCTTTTCCAACTCCCTATTGTTCCCAGGAGTAAGATGCTGTGTGTTGTATGGTCAAGGTCCTATGATGGAATATGGATAATTATTGGATACTGATTCACAAGTGATTTGACTTGTATGCCGTATTTGTCTAATTTTGATTGTAATGATTTTATGTCGGTATGTTTATGTCTTTTGCTAATAATGTTTTACTGTGTATGATAGGATATGTATTTTTTATTGTAAGTCATTTTAAGGTTTTTCACTAATTCTGGCTGATTTACAGTTCTCTTAATACTGTCTATTAATGGGCACTGTCCCTGACAGTCACCTGTTGTTTATTTGTTTGGCAATACAGCAATACCAGAACACTACAAGTTATGTAACATATGTGTTTGACAATTTATGACTGATGGCTGATCCATTTTGCATGTAAAGAGATCAGCAAATAGATTAATGCATATGAGAGTAATAGAAATCAACAGAATCACCTGTTTTAATCTCCAATGCTTACTCACCACACCAGTTTTCTTTACTTTGTTTCTCACTGAAGCAGTTACGTGCTATACAGTAAGTTAAATTTTCTTTGTAGCCAATTGATTACAGTAATTACACTGTCAAATCTAGTGCCACATGAACCTTATGTCTTTGCATTGTTTACCTTTACAGTAACATAAAATTATGTTAAACAGAAAATGAAGTAAACATAACAAATATGGAAAAAGCAACACAAAAAATAAAAACTGTAAAGTAAGCAGACCAGTTCAATACAACAATGTTAATTATTTGTAAAAATATTTTATCATTAGAAATGAATGCAATGAGACAGGTATTTAGAGCTGTGTGCAAATGAACTACTGATGTGGAAAATTTTACACAGTGAGCAGTGGTTTTCATTTGAGGGCTGTGCTTAAGCATTTGAGAATATACAATACATATCCTTTATATATTATGAAAACTTGTTTACCTGCAGTGGAAACACTAACTGAATCTTCATATGGAGTTGCAGTGGAGGACAGTACTGGGCTCTTTCCAGTTACCGCTGAGAAAAAGGACAAATGAACAGCAATAAATTATAAAGACATTAAAATCCAAACTGAGCTAGAATCAGAAGAATTTTAGCTGAAAGTATATTAGTATATTGTGACAATAAATATAAGTATATGACGATAAATATATTGTGAATATTATCTAGACTCATTAGTTCCTCTAGGGTCAGCATACCTGTTACCAGTGGTAACAAATTAGATCTGTTTTGTCCTACAATTTATGGTGAATGTATGCTGTACTATTTCTATCAGGATAATTCTATCACAGATAAAAAAGTACAAATTGAGAAATAATTCTTTGACCATGAGTTAAAATCAGCAGTCTTGGAACACTGAATGCAATATGCTCCATGGTGGCCAATTTAAAGTCTTCATGTCTACAACACATGCTGTGATAATGTTCTGGCATTGTCAGAAATTTTGGTCCAAAATCTTGAAATGGCGACAAGTAGAAAAATTAGCCTACTAATTCTTGTAATGTTACAACTTGTTTATTAACAATTTTTTAGCAATCAATAGGCCATTAGTAATACTTCATGTACCTCATACTTCATGTTCTCCATAGGACCTTCTACCACTTTATATAGGAGGTGCAGATACTGTTAACTACTGATGAAGTTTTAGTAATAACATTTAATTCCTGTTAATGAAAACACACAATAGGTAGAGCTGCTTTTCCACTGGTCCTTCATGTATTACATGTGAACTCTGTAGGATACTCTACCACATTAACATGGGGGGCAGAGATACTCATAACTAATGAATAAGTATTAGTATCTTTACCCAGTTGATGATTCCAATGTCCAAATGAATTTAGCTAAAAAAACCTTCAGTAGGACCGGTATGATTGTTTGTAAGCCCATACCGCTGAGACTAAGACCACAGCATACTCAAAACAATGAAAAATAATATCCTGTTTAATGAACAAGTAAGGAAAACATCATAGTTTGCCATTCATAAACTGTCCATTTGTAGCTTCATTTTTATTCTGAGGTGGGCTACTACCTTGTGAAGTTTCATTACTTTCGTCTTTCATGGATCTATTACCTCTACCACTTATGTCCTTTATTTGACTTATTTGACAGCAACTATTAGATACATTCAGGTCCATCATTCATTCATGAAGCAGCACATATTTTGTTCCTAATATTTACCAAGTTTTTTATGATTTGTATCATTTTAATGTATTTGTTCATGGACAATTCCCAGTTGCTACTATATTAGTTAATCTTAGTTACTAAATCAGTACCTCATGTTTAGAAATGAGTGCTGTGACGGCACTGCACTGTCCTGTCTGTTAACTATGTCTAATGTCTGTTTTATTTATCATACTTATCGTATTGTTTCTTGTCTCATATTTGCACACTTAGGTCTGCACATTTGCACTTTGGCTGTACTGTCTTATTTTGTTCCATGTTGCACCTTGGTCTGGGAGGAACGTAATTTCCCTCCACTGTGTACTTGTACATAGATGGAATGACAATAAAAAATTCTATTGACTTGACTTGACTCTTGAGTTAATCATCACATTCTCTGAGTAAATTTGCTTTATCCAATGTTAAATACTAGGGTGAACAAACAATTTAACAAACAACGTAACACATTATAAAGTATAGATGAATATTGTATTCATTCATTATATTTGTTCTTGCATAGATACCAGGTTACTAAGTAACTATATCATAAAGTTTTACTCAGTACACAGTACAATTGTAGTTACCCAGTACGATATACAGTCTGACCTATTGTTGAGATGTGTTGGTTTCTTGAATTCATAATATTGTTGTTCAAATGTTTTAAGCCTTCAGACTGGCTCAGTTACCTTCATGCTTAGAGTCAGCTCCAATGCCAATATAAACTGGGCCATAGAACTCATTTCCTTGTAGAAAAGATGAATTGACAGTTGCTCCACTCTGAGCTGTGATGTTCTGCACTGGCTGACTCAGAGCTGTGTTTGTCTGCACTGGGTCACCCTGAGCTGTGCTTGTCTGCACTGGGTCACTCTGAGCTGTGCTTGTCTGCACTGGTTCACTCTGAGCTGTGATGTTCTGAACTGGTTCACTCTGAGCTGTGGTGGTCCAGACTGGGTCACCCTGAGCTGTGATGGTTTGGGCTGGTTCACTCCAAGCTGTGATGTTCTGGACTGGTTCACTCTGAGCTGTGTTTGTCTGCACTGGGTCACCCTGAGTTGTGACGGTCTGGATTGGTTCACTCTGAGCTGTGGTTGTCTGGACTGGGTCACTCTGAGCTGTGATGTTCTGAACTGGGTCACCCTGAGTTGTGATGGTTTGGACTGATTCACTCTGAGCTGGGACGTTCTGGACTGGGTCACCTTGAGCTGCAGTGGCCTGAGGTAGGTCAACCTGAGCTGTGGTGTCCTGGACTGGGTCAGCCTGACCTGTGTTCAGATGAAAGCAAGAAGGTGTTACATAGAAATCAAGATATAAGGTCTAACCACATTTCTACTGTTATGACTCAGAACCAAGCAAATGCATTAAACGTACAGTCCTGATATTAAAAATCATAGCACCAGTGTCTCTTATAAAGCACATACAGTGAGATCATATGAGCCCACATAAACTCTGTGAAGAGTTTTTATTCATACATATAAATCATATATATATATAATATGTATGTATCTTGATTTCTATGTAACACCTTCTTGCTTTCATCTGATATAATATTATGTGCATCTTTTCATGTGAAATGATAAGATCAAATATGTCTTTTCATTTCAAATACTCAAAGGTTCTGGGTTCCATGTTTATTGTTAACCCCTTGTAAAAAATAAAAAAAATTGACAAGCAATTGTTTGTTTGTCATGTTTATTTTGAAATAGGACAAACATGTCCTCTTCCATCATGTCAGTTTTAATTCAAATGAGCTCACAAAGGAAAAAACATACAAATACATCCCTCCACTTCCCAAATAAACAACTGTTGATTTTCTAAGTGAAAGTACATGAACATATCCAGGGAACACAGGGCCCAAACTTTTGCATATAACTATATGTAAACTGTAGATATGACCTTAATAGGTAGGCTTTCACAGGCTAGAAAATATGAGCAAGTGCATGGAACAAATACATAATGATACAGTGGGAAGAGCAAAAAGTACTGATTACATAAGCTTTTTTAATCAATTGTGAGTTTAAACAGTGAATGTGACATTAACTGCTCTACCTTTTCTGACTTTGGTCCTCGGTTTCTGGGCCAGTTGATTCTGGTTCATCTTCTTCGTCAAGAAAAACTAAACTCCTAAATGATATTCCTCCCAGTGTTCCTGTCCATACATCACACTCAAAGTCTGAGTCACAATACACAGACATTTAATTCATTAAGACACAAATGGCCTACTGAAGTCTAAAATAAAATAATGAATAATGTAGTACATATAAAAAAGCCTTACCTCACGCACATATTTTAATGTCTGTGATCATTTTTTTCAGTCTTTAAAACAATGTTTAACTCTTCTGAATTGTCAATAGAGAGGTTGTAAAGCCAGACTTATTTGCTGTGAAATAGAAACTGAGAAACAGAAGCAGGTCAGTGTCAGTGCAACACAGGAAACAGTTTGAATAGCACAACCACCGCCACGTCATGCATACATGTTTTCCATAATATCACATAAATATCACACTATAAACACTATAGACAGCAAAAAAAAAAAATAAAAATCAAGATCCTCCACTTTTCAGGTCAACATCACAGCTGAGTGTTACAGAAACAGTTTTAAAGAAAGGCAAGACCTCTACTAACCAAGCAGAGAAAGAAGAACACACTATCTTCCACAAGTATATATAAGTATTTACATTAGGTGCACTGTCTATACTGTTTGTACACACTGTGTGTTCTGTTCCACTGTGTGGAAATAGCCAAAAACATATATCCCCAGATATACCTTTATGAAAATCTAAGGTAATTCAAATGCAGAGTGGGCAGATAGAAAAGGAACACATCATCACACTCTGCAGGAACTAAACTGTTTAGGTCAGCAAAGAGGAAGAGACCTGTTGTGGTTTATTCTACTTCTGCTGACACTTGGTTTTGTCTCTTTAGCAGTGATGGTCTTTGCACTAGGCAGAAACAGACAACTGCTAAGGACCACCATGAGCCAAGGACCCATGAAATTATAAACTAAATATACTGTTATGATCTACTCTAAAAAACAAACATACTTTACACAAAATAGCTGTTATTTACAATTGTAGAAATGCAAATGTCAATGCAGCCCCCTATCCACCAATCACGACTATAATGGACTCTATTATGTTGTTATGTAATGACACAACCAGATAAAGACAGACTAGTTTGAAATATGCACTGATCTATGATTTGGAGAAGAGGTTCTTCTGTGTGATTTTCTGGGAAATTTAAAGAAGCTTTTCAAGTGGAGCAAAAAATTGCATGTCTATACTCACAATGGCAAATGTGTGCATCAAGTCAAAACATTAACAAACCACAGACCTTTAAGAGAAAAGCTTGGGACTTCAGCTAAAATGAGTTTCCCTGCTATGCAACTGTCAGCGACCCGAAACAAATCTCAGTTCCATCACAGACACAAATGTCTCTACAAACTATTACCTTTCTGTTAAAAGCCTAACAATATGTACTAAAAACGATGTAGAGATCCCTACTATTCTCTACTCATTGTGTTCTGCTGTACAGACATCTTCATTAATTATAGTCTCAGCATTTTGGTCATTGTTGCTTGCTCTTGTCTTGCTCTTAAGTAATCCAATAGCCCCCATTAGCCAAGGACCCCATGAAATTACAAATTGAATATACTGCACGTGTTGATCTTATTTATTTTATTTTTAAAAAGAAGACACAAGTTACTAATTACTTCTCTCCTGCTGTTCTGAGATTACATTACATTTCATATTGTGAAATGTGAAATTTGTGTGACTTTATGTAAAATACATTTATAGTAAATGAATTCTAGGTGGACACACTGTAAACATTCATATACATAACAGATGTTTGAAAAAAAAGTTGATCTTTTTAATTGAAAAATATGAATTCCTGTAAGGATTTGTGTGCTGTGACCATTTTCCCCACCCCATCCCCATTGCAAGATAAAGGATTTTCCTGCCCAAACTTGTCTCATTTTCAAATAAACACACCAGTGACCTGGTTTAAACAGAAGACAAACATGAGATAGCATTAATAAGATGAGTAATATACAAGCATGTTTACATTCATTTACATTAAATTCAGTTTAATGAGATATGTATGGAAAAGGAAAGGTATAACAACAGCAAACCATACCATTATAACACTAGTACAGGCTTGCTAACTAATTGAATATTAGCTCAAGTTTCAATAAGAGGGTAACTGAACCTTGAGCTGATAGTTAGTTAGTTAGCAGCCCTGTGCTAGTGTTATAATGGTATCGTAAACAGTCAAGTGGTTCATGTTAACTTCACACACACACACACACACACATATCTTCTAAGCCGCTTCTCCTTCTGGGTCGCGGGGGTGCTGGAGCCTATCCCAGCTGTCATTAGACGGAAGGCAGGAAACACCCTGGACAGGTCGCCAGTCCATCACAGGGCAGACAGACAGACATACACATTCACTCACACTCACAGTTAGCCCATCAGCTCATGTTTTGCACATTAGCTTGTTGTTAGTACATTAGCTTGCGATTAATGCATTAGCCCAGGGTTAGCAGGGTAGCTCCCATTTAGTATATAAGCTTGTGTTTAACATGTTTGCCTATGGTTAGCACATTAGTTTGTGGTTAGTGCAATAGCTTGGGCCTAGCGCTCCCAGATACCAAAGAAATGTTGATTCACCGTTGTGCAGTTCAACAGCGAAGTGTTGAATCAACACTGATTTCAGACATTGATTAAAGTGCAGACACTGTTCAACGTTAAATCAATGTTGAAAACCCATATAAACTAGACGTTTAATAAACTCTGATTCAACCTTTAACTAAATGTTGATTATAGTGTGGGTGTGATTAAAAGTTGTGGGAGTGTTACTGCTGCACTGCACCTAACAAATAAAGAGAACAACAAAAGGAAAAACACAGCATATTAGTTTAATATAATTGCAGATAAATGTAACTCTTATATTGGACTATGGAATATTTTTTAAAAGGCCCATATCCTACATTTGTCTTGCATTTTATTTTGTCTTTTATGACACGTATGTGCTTTTATGCACCAATATTAGTAAAAAAAATCATCAGCATTAACCGCTTAGTCCAGATAGGGTTGTGGTTAGTCAAAATTAAAATATGTTTAATTTAAAGACAGTTTTCTAAACTCCGTTTATCCCTTAAACAGGCTGTTTGTCTTTATGAGTGATATATGTAAATGAGCTCTCTTCTGATTTGCTGCCCTGTTCAAAAAGCTGTTCTGGGTGAAACATGCTATATAACTTTAGCATAAAGGGGCGGGGCTAAACTGATGTAGGCTAAAATATGTGTATATATGTAAATGTATAGTTTTTTGACATCATGGAAAGATTGACTTAGACTGACACAGTTAAATTTTGTAGTTTAGTTTCTACATATGGACTCTATGGACTGGGAAGTGAATAGATTTGACACTTTAACAGTGTTTACAAACCACATCAACTGTTTATTTAAAGAAAGCAAAAACAATAGTTTTCCATGATACAGGACCTTTAAAAGGTAAAAACAACTTAAATACTGGAGTTATAACTACTAGAGTGAGGTGATTAGGATATTATTAGGCTAGGCCTTATTTTTTTTTTTATTTATTACATTTCATAAGATGATCTGCCAGCTTCATGATTGCTTGTTTTCAGTGTGAAGCCCCCAGCAGTCCAGGTGGTGGTGCTGTTTCTCTCACTGTAGTTCTCCAGCAAAAAAATCTTGCATTTGATCAGCTGTGTGTGCCTCTGCGCTCACACAGTGTTGCTGGAAGAGTAGAAGGAACTGGACTCTTGAAGGTGAGGAGCTGTTCAACAAACTCCTCACACTGTTTACATTTGTGTTTTAAAAAGCTAGATTAGAAAAGTAAACGGAAGCCAACACAGAAGCAGCTTTTCAGACTTGGCTGAGAAATGTCAGCTGTTGTCTCATAATATTTGGTTGATAATGTGTTGTAGTTGGGTTTGGAGGACATAGAGTTGAAATTTAGTTGCAAGTCTGTTAGTTGAGAGTTTGAGGTGATAATTCTCTGATCTACTGAATTAAAAGCAACATTTTCCTTTCTAGTCAAAAGCCCATTTTTAGCTTATGTGCTTCCTCTGCTCTTGAGTGCTGATATTATCAATTCAACTCCTTTGTCACACTGAACACAAACATGAATCCTTTACATGCATGTATTTCTCTTCTACATTGTCAATTTGTGCACAATTCAAGCAGATTTTATAAAAAAATATTTAAAATGACAGAAAGAGTTTGAAAGATTTGTAAGAGTGCAGTTTTCTAATTACAAAGGCTGCAGTTTTAATTATAGCCCACATCATCATGTTTAAGGTAGTTCAACCAATATTTAACCTAATAACTGAATATGTGCTCTGTATTCTGTATTCTGTGATATTAAACACACACCGCAACTTCTTGGACACTAAAAAAGTTGTCACTGCTTTTTAGTCAGACATGCTGCAGTTTCAACAGA